TTTTCATATCTTATCAATTCAAAGAAATTCTGTTGCTGAGGTTGCGCTTACCCTCAATCATCCAGGTGCCCAAAGCTTTGCCTTCTTTTCTTCTGACTGGACCAATGAGCTAATAGCTGAGGTAAATGCCAGTCCATTTGCCTTGGTTGCTTCTTCCTGTTAATACACAGAAAATTATCAGTCATCTCTTTATGGGGGGTTGTCTGGGCCTCTCATGTGGCAGATAAGGGAGGAGGCAAATTGCCTGGTGAGGGAAACGTGTAATGTCATTAGGTGTGCCGGCATATTAAGAAAGTTTCACGGCTGACTGTCATCAAAACAGGTTAGCAAAGTCTGCCGTCGCCGGCTTCGTCCTTCCAGCCCAGACTCACAGTCATAGCTGTTTGATGTGTTAAAGGTCCTGAGGGCTGCAGAAATGACTCTCACTGCTGTCATAGTTCATCACGGACAGACTGACCTCTGTCAGCGGTCACTCAAAGAGAAATGGACCCCAACGAAAGGAACAAAGTAAACCTGGATGACGCTCCCTGGTAATTAAAGTATCTTGTACAATTAAAACATCAAACATCTGTCTGATACTAACGTTATCTTTATCAAAAATTTCAATAAAGACATACTTTTAAAGTATAAAATATAAATATAATTTGACATGAGTTGAGAGATAATTCACAATTAAATCTTTCAATTTTCAACGGTTTTCTTATTCCAAGATACTGGAAAAATAAAAATTGATATAAAAATGTAATAATACCGTGTCCGTTTCACAACAGCACTCAAATGTCGATCGCCTCGTACCTCGATTGCATTTTCCCCATTAAAAATATCTAAATACCAATTAACTTGTGCCATGCCCTGAGAAATATGCTATTTATCAATTAAATAAACCCCCCTCCCCTATCTAAACATCAAACAACAATTCCCCGGGTGATCTATGTGGATGCTCTGTTGCTTTCAGTTCCCAGAATAAACAATCCAGCAACACAGCCCCAGGAGTAATCAACATTAGACCTTTAACTTGGTCATTACTTAAAAATGCTCCGTTCCTGGAAGGCAGAGAGCTGTGGGGCACAGGTCACCACCCAGAGTCAGTGGGAGAAACTGTCAATATGCTAAAAAAGCAATTCCACAACCAATTATTTGCTTTGACTACTGTGTTCGACCACACTGTGTTATTCTGCTACTGGTGGCCCACATTAATATTTACACTGTAATAAATCATCGTCGGGTCCGAACATTTGCTACATGTAGCCTGTCGGACAGTCGATTAATAAATTCATAAACTCTTCATGAAATATTCAATATTTTCATATAAGGAAGAAGTCTTGTGACGCCACTATTTCTGACAGATAACATTTCTCTTTTTTATGTCAGTTTGCCCAAACTCACTCCACGAACTGGGTCAAAGACTACAGTTTTATCCTTTATTGACCAAAGCAGACATGTTTTTCTGTAAGGCAACGAAGCGGACTGTGAGCAAATCCGGCATCAAAATACTCCAAAAAAAAACATGCACTTTTGACAGCAGCTGTCTGAGGGAAGTCACAGACAGCGTGACAGTTGTATATTAAAGCAGGATGGCTGCTTTGCTCCATGAAAGCATGAAAACTGTGTCAGTTTAACATGTGAACAGACTTCAGACGCGGGTCTGCGGCTCCAAACTAATGAAAGGCGAACTTTAAATAAGGAACAAACCATTTTTCTGGCACACTTTAGTGATAATCACGGCAGCAGACGACCATTTAACGATTGTGATGGCAGAATATAAAGTCAGATGTAAGAGAATTCTGCACAATGGAAAAGATCACCAAAACATTGAAATGTCTAAAAAAGACAAGATGTGAGATCCAGAAGTGAGAGTGATAAAGGATGAGAAATGGGCAGATGTGGGGAACACTAAGGGATGAGTGCTTTTTAAAGGCAAAGTTGAGAAGTGAGGTTGACAAGATTAAGTGCTAAAGAACATACCATGGAAAAATGGGACAAAGGTGATGGAGGAAGGAGCTGCAAGAAAGAAAAGAGGCGATGAGCGTGTGATGAAGGAGAAAACATGGATGAAAGATGAATGGATGGGGTGAGATATGCGTGCATGAAAAGGACAATACTGTACAGCTTCTGGTTTCATGTTGATCAGTGTTGCCTCAACTGTATGTAATGTCAACATCTTTGTCAATTAGTTCCATTGACAATACAGGTATACACTAACCTTGGACATTATCTCCCGACGTCTGACCTTGACTGTATTGGCGTGAATGCAGTGTCATTTTGTGCACACCTGATGATGATGTCAGAGGACATCAGTAAGGCCAGGCATGATATGCAAATAAATGGAGCATCACAAAAGGATCAAGGAAAAGGAGCCTTTTTGACAAAGGTTTTCAGTTCACTACCGCATACAGTATAAAAGACATCAGGTCAAATGGGCTGCACACTGCATATGACAACCGTAAAAATATTCTTTAGTGTTCCGATGATTTGTACCCATATTGCAATAACCATCACGATAATTCTGTCAGCATTCTGTTTTCTCTCAAAAACAGTGCTTAAAACTTACCAAAAGTAGTGTTGGAAAAGATACAATTTTAGATTAAAAATATAATATTGCGTTACATTTCATGGCCCAGAGCACACATTGTGGAAATGGATGTAAAAATGTTTCATAAAATATTTATATTATAATTTAATGTGATTCAAACATGAATTTCATATACAAAGAGATTTGTGTTGACACAAAATCTCACATACTTAAAAAATCCCAGCTCTGTTACTTCTACGGCTGTCAACATTATTATCTGCTAAATCACACAGTTCATGATTTATCATGATTTGTGTTTGTAAATAATGCATGCACGTGCTAGCCGTAAGCTTGAGCTCCAAAAAACATTTTCTAGCAGTGTGTGCAAATAACGTGTTGTCTGCGTGTTTGAGTAATGATACGTTTTGATAATGTTTGGTGAAAGACATTTAAATCCATCTAAATAATCTTCAGTAATTTATCTCTATGAAAGCATTCATTTTCACCCCCTCCCTAAATATTTCCATGCAACAAAGAGCTTTAGTTGTTACACATAACAATTTGTTTTAGAAATATAATAAATAAATAATGGAGGTGTGAGTATGTCCTAGTGTCCAGGACACGAGGCTAGGATTAGCCTGTAACGCTTAGCAATAATAATCTTTCATCGGTTCGGAAATCCTACAACGTACATTGAGCTAAAAACGGTGTAGCCATGTAAATCCAGAAGTAAAGAAGCTGAAGATAAATAAATACAATGCATAACTACTTCATTCATTCTACCTATTGATATTAAAAGTATAAATATCTCATATATAAGTGCTTTTATTAAAACTGTCAATCAGCAAGTGTTGCTGAAAAATTGCTGCCACACTCTGCACCAGTAACGATCTACTACACGGCCATCGCACCAGTGTCCTAGAGCTGCCGGTGCCTGTCCATTTGTCTCTTTCCTCCCGTGGGCTTCTATATCCATCTAGTTCTAAGCCAGTGTGAAACAGCTGGATCAGCCAATTCCACAGGTCACTGCCCTGATGTAAACCTGGTGAACATGTAACAGAGTGGGATGAGGTGTGTTGTCCATCACAGTAAAGCTGGATAAGTGCATGTGTTAAAGTGATGGAGTGTTGCTATTCAAACCAAGTCAATAATGTGGTTACAGTTCACTCTTTTTTTTTCTATTTTAAAGACATAATTACTATTTTTAGCTTGAAGTCGCAAACAATTATATTGTGTGTTGTGTCTCAAAAAGAAGTTACCAAGATGAAGGGTAAACTACTTTTGAACAGAGTCTGGACAGAGACAGCGGGCGATACATTTTTATTAACGTGATAGAGAGCGTGTGACAAGCTCACACTCACAAAGGAATCTGGATCAAAGACAAGAATGTTGTCTGTCGGGGGCTCTTTGAAAAGTTTTAACCATCAAGTTGGGGCTTATTAAGTTTAGGAAAGTGCCGAGAGAAAGAAAAAAAAACATTTGTAAGATCTAAATTCATCACTTTCACATGGAGCTTTTCAAAATGCCCTAAAGTGAAACACATGACAGTTGAATCATATCTTATTTTGAAGCCAAAGAAAACTGAGCAGCAGCCAATCTTGTCTATCTACTGTATGTCAGGGGACACCAACTACATCTTTTAGTTAAGGGACAGAATTTTCCTGGACAGACCCCTATTTTTGTCTAACAATTTTATTTGATATGTATAATACTGATAGTTATTTAGAGACATAAACTGGTTTGATGTGACCTTATCTATAATCCTAAAGATCTTCTTTGTGTCAAGAGCACACATTTTTGGGGAAACAAACATGGCACATCCATCTGTGACACAGATCACAAAGGTCAATGTTTGAGCTATTAAAATCCTTTGTGAGAATTTCCCTCAATCCCACTTTGTCCACGTTATGCACTCTGAGGAGCGGTTTTAAGTTTGTATTACTAGGAAAAGTAATTTTCAAACAACAACGGCTTTGACCTTTAAATTTGTACCGTTGTCTGATCGTGTGAAAAAGGCCAGGAGGCTCTGGATTTTTTTTTTAGTCTGGTATTATTTTACAACAGAAGAAGAAAATCGAGTAAATTACAATAATGAACATGGTCAAATATTTAACATCGTAGGAGTTCGCAGGTTTGTAATAGTGTAAACTGCACTGAAAAGGCAAAGCCGGCAGGTGTCAATGTCCAATTCCCTGTGTGAAACAGAGACATCAGCGTCGATGGCTGGTGTAAGTTGCGGACTCGGCTGTGCCACGCTGTGCGTCAAACCAAAAAAAGCGCGCTCTCACACCCGAGGACGCGTGTGAGTGCAGCGGTGATGCTGCAGCCGCCTATATAAGAGCCTCCAATATGCCACTGATCACTCATTCATGCATTTGCTCCGAGCTGCACCGTCAGACACCAATGCTCCCTGTGCGCGCAGCGCGCCGCCTGCTCCATCGCCTCTCATCCTGCAGCCTCTTCCTGCAGCCTCCTGCTCCATCGCCTCTCATCCTGCAGCTCAGTCCAGGGATCCGAAGCAGACTCTTCTTCTCTCTGCCTCTACCATGCACGGATTTCCATTCAAGAAGTTTTTGAAAAAAGAATAACCTCAAAGCGCATGATGCTCGGTGGCGGAGACAGCGCGTGCAACTGCGGACCAAAGTGAGCGCGTCCACGTTAAGTTAATGGTTTGAACAGAGAAGCCACGGGATCCTCTCCTCGCCGTTAGTCTCCAATTAGCTCACCCTCAACCCGGGCGTGGACCATGGATACTTTGAGTCTGTCAGTGAACGCCGTGTCCTACACCGTGGCTGCTGAACTGCCTTACACTGACGACCCCTTCACTGCACCCATCAGGAATGTGGCACAGTGGAACTTTACCATCCTGGCCGTGCTCATGTTTTTGGTCACCTCGCTGTCCCTGGGCGAGAATTTTTTGGTGATGTTTGTCACGTTTAAATTCAAACAGCTCCGACAGCCACTCAACTACATCATTGTCAACTTGGCTATTGCTGACTTTCTGGTCTCCCTCATCGGCGGAGTAATAAGTTTCCTGACTAATTCCAGGGGTTATTTCTTCCTGGGGAGGTGGGCCTGCGTCCTGGAGGGCTTTGCTGTGACCTTTTTCGGTAGGTAGTCTTTTGCATAAACTTTATAAACTGTAGGCATCTGTGTGTTGTAGCAGTTTGGCAGTTGACTGGCCAAAATGTAAATAAAGTGGAATTTCTACATGAAACCTGAACAAAAATGTTGTATTTAACTATGGCTGCCGCAATAATACTGCTGATGAGGAAGTTAGTCAGCTTAGCTTGACACATTAACTAAGAGAGTCTGTGAGAACTGTTTTCCCCGCAGACCCGTTTTGTGAAATCAGCCACTGGAGTTTAAAGCAGATGAAAACATAAGGCTCGCAGGTCAAAGCTGGGCGTTCAAGTAATTTAAAGTGGCCCAAAAGACAACACTTAAGTTCTATTAATGTTAATAAATAAAACTGCGCCTTATTAGTTGTGTGGTATTTGTGCCCCCTGCAGGGCTGTGTGTGTCTCTGTTGATATATTTCCACATCCGTCCTCAGCGCTCCAGAATATATGGCTTTTTTAAATTTTTATTGTTTTAATTTTTAAAGTTTTGTATTTGAAAAATTTAAAATTGGTTGATGAACTAAGTATGTATCGTACGTAAATATTAATCCATTACAGGCAGTTACTTATTCAAACATTATGGAGTAATTTAAGAAATTCTGTTCATATCCCTGGTTTGGAGCTCCTAGCCAAGAATGCAACTTTCTAAGCTGCATAGTGGAGCAAGTACCACAAAATCCTCAGTGAAGGCAAGTTATAATTCATTCTGAGAGACTGGTGTTACAGTGAAGACTAAACTAAAGTGATCCCCATAGTGTAAAACTAAAAAGATAAGTCACTCAGCAGTCACTATTGCACTAAATACTCCCATAAATCCTTCTAATGCCACAAGGGCCACAGGAAACTACGAAGTTCCAGACATGACCCTTTCACCTGACATTTTTTTCTGTCAGAGGTTTGACTCTGGTGTGGGATTTCCACATCTAGTACAGGGCTAATTTCTTAACTCACAGGACAAAACTAGAACATCTTTTGTCATTATGATAAAAGTAGCAAGCCTTCAGGCTTTTTGTCCAATTTCTTAAAAACCTAATCATTATGCAACAGCCTTATAAAGTGGGGGCTTACAGGGGTCTTGTGATGGAAAGCCACTCAGCAGTTTTACTGACTGACAGCTGCCGTCTGTGTTTCTAGGTAATTATATAATTAAAGTCAATGAGAGGTCAGTGAATGTATCAAACACACATCAATACATTCATTGTAGTAAAAACATCACTGCCTTAAAGTAAAAAGAAGATCATTTGTATGTTTTCCACCCCAATAATCCACAGTTACTGTCAGGTGTGTTAATTGGACGATGTGTTTTTAACACTCACCCCCTGGTCTTTGCCGTAGGCATCGTAGCCATGTGGTCTCTGGCCATTCTGTCATTCGAGCGTTTTTTTGTGATCTGTCGACCCCTGGGTAATATCCGACTGCAGGCGAAGCACGCCGTCCTTGGTCTGCTGTTCGTCTGGACCTTCTCTTTCATATGGACCTTCCCTCCAGTGCTTGGCTGGAACAGATATACTATAAGTAAGATTGGAACGACTTGTGAGCCTGACTGGTAAGAACTTGTCTTTTCACTTCATATCTTCGTCCAACCTCATCTTCTGTCAGCTGCTTCTTCAACCATCACCACTGCAGACCACCTGATTTCCATTTATTCCTTTCTCTGCTGTTACACAAACTCTCTTCATGTCCTCATTTACCTTATCATTATAACGTTAGCCTGACAGCTTCATCTACAAAACCCTGTGACAAGTACATTATAAGATTATTAGATTGACGTTCACTCTAAACTGCACATATTTTGTTTCCCCACTAATCTGCTCATTCCTAATCTTGTCCACACTTTAATCCCCGATCAAAATCTCTGCTGTTACCATGGTTTTTTTCACTGATCCACTAACTCAATGCGTACCTGACACTTAAAATAATCTAATGGAAGGTAAACACACAGATCACAACCACCTTGCCTGTCAGCTCTTGAACACAAATTGCCCCACAGAACAAATGAATATGGTCTACATAAATGCTAAATGTCCAACAGTGCTTCTGTAGACCTGAGGACAGCACCATTATGAGGAGTGCTTCTTATATCACACGTTTCATGCTTATTCACATGCTGTTGCCATGTTGTTGGTGAGAATTTGGGAAGAAGGTTTCGCCCTGTCGTCCTGCACACGTCAAAAAGTTCTGAGTGGAAAACCTTATTTTTTTTGTAAAATGCCAGTACATGACCTGATAGAGGTGGTCTTGTTCAGAAACAAGTGACAGCTGACACACAGTGGTATAGACGTTGACAGGAATGGTGAAATCTGGATTGTTTTACAGGCCACTCATCCACCACCATCAAATTTGTCTCGGTAAATTCACAATGTTTAGACAGAGAGAGTGAGGCAACTGTTTCAAGACCGCTGAGTGACGGAAGCCATTAGGAATCCTCTCCCTTCATCGTCATATTGTAACCACGGTCACTCCTACAGGTGCTGCTCGGTATGAGCAGTGGCTGCCGGTTTTAAGAGAATTAATTCATGTGGAGATAAACAATGTCAATTAGACACACATATATTGCCTCCGACGCATTCTTCAAATTAAGCGACCGTGTGACTATTTTTCCATCATCTGAATTTAGTGATTATTGGCAACCCCGACTGCTCGAAGCTCTTTTGTTTCAGCGAAAAATGGCTGAAGTTTTAAAACAATAATGAACTAAGTTTTCTTAACAGTTCAAAAGGTATATATTTTGGCAAAATTAAATATATTAATGAGAAAGTACAGGATTGAACACTATTTTTTTAAACATTGTGTATAATTTGCAATTGTAATTATTCATGAACGTTCTCTTTTATTTTGATATTTTCTCTCTTCTCCATATTTAGAAATACGCAATTAGTAAAATTGAACTGCTCAACAACTGGTGCTGAAGCCGTTCTGGGGAATTCTCATAATCATCTTATTTCTTTAGAAATTTCAGCGCTGCCTTAACACCGCATAAATTATACGGCAAAATTATAAGTAATTATTTTTCAGTAATTTTCTGCTGCTTAGCCTTTAATTAGATGTACATGTCTTCCGTAAATGAATAAACACTGTGAGTACATTTAAATTACAACATATTTCAAGACTTTTTTACATTGGGAAGTGATCAACATAAGGTCTGTGCCGTAAAGTAAAGGCTTCATGGGATTTAAATATTTATATATTTTAAATTCCCCGACGTGCAAATTAGCACTGTCCATGGTTCTGAAACAACACAACCTATTATGAAGACACACAAACAACCTGTCATTTGTTTTTGTTTTTTTACTAATTGGACAAGATGCTGAGACATGGACTCTTACAAGAACAGACTTTCATTAACACAGTCTGGTTTTGTCTCCAAGTTACTTCTAACGTTAATGTAAGGCGTCTGCTCTTGTGGTCGGGTGTCAGGGAGCGTTTTCTGATACAACAGTGGATCGTGTAAGGGAACAATGATTTGTTACAATAGCTCTGAGCCCACATGGACAATCCATCATAGCAGCAAGGACAACAGCACCTTCACACAGCTCCTGCCTTTACACACACGATCTCACTGTGATGATTAATAAGTTGAACTGTTTCTATCCTGACAGACTTGTTATCGTACTTTTCTTCTGCTGTGTTTTTGAATGTGCTTCTGAGCAGAGATGATGAGCAGATGGTCTTCAGCCCTTCATCCCCTCCACCCCCCTACTCACAAAGCACTCACAAAGAGTGTGGACTTCAAGACAAACGATGTCCACAGTTAAAACGAAAAACAATGAAAATCTTTTCTCTGACCCTTTGCTATTGAATAAATCACAAAGTTGACAATCTATATCCACATCCACTGTCCAGATATGAGCCTGATGTCCATTATTACTTATAGCATAGCAAATTACTATTTTTATCTTGTTCTGAGTCGGGCACCAAATAAAAATAAAGGCTTACATTTACATCTAGGCAGCTGGCTTGCTGTCTGTATTTAAACACGCCTCAGACACCAGTAATGCGCCCATTTATTGATTTCTCCGCCGCGTACCCTGCACAGACAAAGATAGAGATCAACCACAGAGCCTCTGAGTCACATCCACAGTGTGGCTTTAACCCAAAGTGTGAATGTGTCTCATGGTATAAAGTCAAGAAACATATTGGCTGTGGTCATGGCCCTGAGGATACCATCTGTGTAATGCTGTTTAGCTGCTTTCATCAGAGATGTACAGATTGGGAGGTTGAATGTTGGCCTCCAGCCGTGCGAGGTAAACAATACACACACATAAAGCTAACAAGAGTGGAACAAATGCTCTGGACAATACAGATGAGAAAAAGAATCACCGGAATATTCTCATTACCCATTTGGAGTGCAGGGAAGACACTCCAAATGGGGACATTTCAGATGACCTGTTCACCTAGCTTTAGATCTAACCAAATAAATGAATGAATAAATAAAATAACCAAACAGCTGGGGCTCATGCAGGACAGCTGTGTAACGGCCACAGTGGAGCCACTGCACAGCTTGATGCATTTAAAACGTCTCATTTACATTCATCGTTTGCAACTGGGTTCCTGTACATATTTCCTAGACATGTCTTATTATTCTCATCATATGTGTTGCTCGTAGATGTACTGCATGGACAACACTAATTTTACGCATTTATTATAGAGAAGAAATAAGAGACATCCAAGTGGGGAAACACATGTCAAAGTCAATGAGAAATAAAGCAGTTGAGTGAAGTCTCACAGTTTGGATTGGAATTTACTTTGAAGAGTCTAATTTAATTGAAGTAATTAAATTTAAAGTTGATCCAACACAGTTTAGTCAAGAAAAAATAAACTTATTTTATTTACTTGCACTATTTCTGTCGTCCGTCTATCTGTCTCTCCATTAGACTTACTTAATGCCCTGCATTTAAAAGAGGCTGTTCTGACCCAAGGTGGTCGTCTCGCCTGAAGTTAAATGGCGTGCACTTATTGTACACTCCAAATGTAATTATTGTGATGCAATATTTTAAAACATCGACACCGAGTTTGTTGACGTGTACTAAACACCTCCTGAGGAGAATGCATTGACTAGTTCCCGTGTGACTGTAAGAAGTCGAAGCAGCTGAGGCACAGTTTTCAGCTTAAGACTGTTAGGAGGATTAAAGTGTGTTGGCTCAACAGTGACAGATTCATAAAACTGAGAGAAAAAACTTGTTTTGTATTTTTTTGACAGTCCCTCAGTGCTGAGTTAAACTGAATGAAAAAAAAAAATCCAAAACAATTTCTTCACCTTCAAATGTGGAAATGTGAAGATTTACCCTGAGAGTGAAGCAAGATGTTTGTGAACCAATTTAGTTTGCTTCGTTGGCTGTTTATTTGTCTGTTATTTGACTGTTTTAAAGTGACAGTCTTGCTGCTGACACCACTTGGAGATAATTTACCAGCTGAGTGAAGGGATTATTGACTTTAGGTCCCTGAAACTTGAAGCTGCCAGTCCTGCCCTAAGAGTCAAGTTGTCATTAAAATGACATGTTGATTAACAATAAGGAGTTGGTATCTGAAAAATAAATGATGTGAAGCTGCTCTAGTTTTTACCACCAACACCACCAGAGGATGCAGCGCTCTCATCAGGGTGCTGTTGATTCTAGAGGCACTAATGAAGTGAGACAGTGTGAATGACTGAGGGGCCCAGACCTGCACAAGGGCTTATGTCAGATTTTACACATACCTATAGGTTAAGGGTCTTGGGTAAGCTGCCACCAGAGGTTTCTTAAACCTTATTATTATTTTAGCGCAGAACAAGTGCAGTGTGGTCGTTTACCGACGATGTTTGTTCTGGATACAACTGTACAAACATTAATAGAACAGGTGTTTTACATGACGGCGTATGAATGTGAATTTAACAGTAGCATCATAAACATTTTTTACACAGGCTTAACATAGTAACAGGGATTAAGGTGCATGCATGCATGTGCATCAAATGGGGGCGCACACACACACACTTCCATCCCTGCACTATACATGCTTACAAATTATACCAGGCCTCCTTGTGAGTGGAAGGTATTCTAATGGAAATAATGTAATTAGACCAAATTAGAGACCCACTGTAAAGGCCTCTTATTGTCCCACAGATATTTGTCTCAGCCGTGAAATTGTCCCCTGAAAAATAAGCTTAAATGGGCTGCAGTGTCGTTTTTCTGTATGGCTGGATGAAAGCCTTTGAATGTCAAAATGACAGCTTGCTGACAGCCACTAACTGGGAAAAATTATGGTAGTGTACAAGCACTGTTTACTCTCAAAGACAAAGAGTGTTATGAAGCCCCGCTATATCGGGTGGAGAGTGACTCAGACGAAGCCCCGCTATATCGGGTGGAGAGTGATTCCTTTGTCACAATTAAAATCAGCAAACTTGACTATAGCTACTTTCTCATGCAGTAAACGCTAAACTAAAAAATCTGTTTCTTTCTTTGCCGTCTGTTCGCAGGTATTCAACCAACATGAAGGATCACAGCTACATCATCACTTTTTTCATCACTTGTTTTATTTTACCTCTTGGAGTGATCTTCTTCTGCTATGGAAAGCTGCTGCGGAAGCTCAAGAAGGTCAGTGGTCCATTCACTAGACATGTGAAAAGCACTCCACACTGTGAGCCTAATACCGTATGGTGTGTTGTCATCACCACGGATAATAGAAAGACATGCCAGTCACACTCCAGGTCCACTCACTGACAGTAATGTAATGATAATACCGAAAGCCTTTTCCCTCAGGTGCATTGCTCTTGCATACAATTTGTTAGGTAGGGAGCTTCAAAAAGGAATAAAATGTCATCCCAGGTTATGGCATGTCATGTCTCTTGCGGGGACTCCGGTGTCCGCCCACTGTCTAAGAACATCGGTAGTAGGCTTACTGGACACAAATAAATATATTCATATGAATATTTCTTTACCTCTATCTGTGGCCCTGCGACGAAATGGTCCTGGGTTCCTTCCCCCACTTGTTGACTCTTGACCCTGAACAGAATAAAGCAGAACAATGATAGAGTTATTGATGAAAATACTATCATATAGCAATATAATTAGATAACAATACTTTTAAATAACATTTTAGTTTACCAATTTACACCTGCAGGTGCAGGCTGGACCGTGACAGTATAGTCTATGTCATGAGTGGTCACTCATTTTTATATATTATTTCATAATTCATTATTTAATCTTTTCCAGGTGTCACACGGTCGCCTGGCCACTGCCAGAAAACCAGAACGTCAGGTGACCCGCATGGTGGTGGCTATGATTGTAGCGTTTATGGTAGCGTGGACACCGTACGCAGCCTTCTCCATACTGGTCACAGCTCACCCAACCATTGAACTTGACCCCAGACTGGCCTCCATTCCAGCCTTCTTTGCCAAGACTGCCACTGTCTACAATCCAATCATCTATGTCTTCATGAACAAACAGGTAACTCTTCATATCAGATGCTAACACTTCAGCCCTGTTTCTTAGTCACTTCAAACTTGTGTGTTTTCCCTTACAGAGTGCCTAATATTTTGCAGTAGCAACAGAAAGTATGTGACATTTCTGCCTCTACCACCTCATAGGTGTATCATGTACATGTTCTTATGGGTTCAAAAGAAATTTGACTAAATGACAATCACAGAGATAATTGTAAAAAAAAAAAAAAAGAAGCTTGACACCTGTTAAATCACATCCAATTACATGAGTTAAGTTGAACATTAAATATTATAACATGCTAAGAGTGACACCTCTGAGCAAATGCTACCTACTACTATTTTCAGTTTAAAAGTCCATTCCTGTGTACACATTTGGTCAACGTCCCCAGGCAGAAACACGGATGCCCCGCAGTATTACCTGCTCCACACTCACCTACTTTAATGAGGTTGTATCTGTGCAGTGACCAACCCACTGCTGTCACACTCTGTATCTTCTCTTCACACCCTTCCATAGCTCCAGTAAAAAAACAGATGGATTCCAGAGTTCCTAATGAACTTTTCATGTTAGCATGTACAAGTCGCCCTCTGTACATATAACTCTGTTGTCCCTGTCAGACTGTGCCCGCACAAATAATCTTCCAGCCAGTAGAGAAGATGGTGAAACTGTCATGGTCTATCACAATATACACAAATGTATGTATGCAGTTAAAAGCAAAAAAGTGTCAAACCGCACATACAGATTATGTACTGCATACTGTACGTAGCATTTAAAAACTGTATTCCATCTGCATGTCTGACTCATTGTACTTGTTCTGAGCTGCACTCTTTAAATTGGTCATTGAGTGTTTCCTCAAAGGCATCGACTGGATGGTGATAAGTTCAGCTGTCAGGCAGAGATTCTGGTTTAGACCAACCACAGCCACACTGGTGGTTCTTGTGGAGCTCAGCTGATCTACAGAGCAGGATGCACCTGCTTCTTTTATGCTTTCGTCATGCCATACATACCTGATAGACTATCTAAGCTGTGACCTCAATAGATTAGTTGGATAATTTCATTAATATGTAAGAATTTAGAAGAAGAATTTACATTACAGCTGCTTAAGGCTATGTACAAAACAACAGAAAAGGAAACTCCCCAGGGATACCCAGGAAGGCTAAAGGTTGAGGATTAGTGTAGAAATCAATGTATTTATTTATTTAAATAAAGGAAGACAGAAGACAAGCTATGTCTAACACACTAGTCCTCAACACCAGGTTGGGTTGTATCATCATCATGTGATCTAAAGCAGCACTAGTTGTGACAATTTATTGAAATAAAGTATTTTTTCCCCCGTCATTTATGGCACTGCTGTTGCTTTACGTCTGTCCAAGTCTGCCACTAGGATTACAAAACACAAACACAAAACTGATGGCAGAAGTGTGACACATATTGGACTTGTCAGTGCATTTAAAGTCCCACAGTGAACCAAATCACAGAAACGTGTACTGTGTCTTCAGGGGGCTTTAGCAGAAATAATTGTACGCTTAAAAAGAGGTTATTGTCTTGAGGGACGCAGGCAGGAGTCTTTTGTGTTTAATTACACAGGCTATTAAGGCTCACGGTTGTGATTTTTCCCCGTGATCACCGGCAAGAATTCCACATCTGAAAAGGTTAAACTACTTCAGACATAAACAAATGCATTGAACAATAATAATGGGGCTTTATAGTTGGGATCAAGATCAGTCAGGTTTTTCCAGGAACCATCAGGAATGTCACATCACTGGAAGGGAAGGGACAGTTAAATACTGTCATGTATACTTAACGTTTAAAAAAAACGTTTTTAAATTATTTACACCATGTTTTGATGCTAACTGCCTTTATATTCTTTATATGGTTTCTGCTCAGTTCAGGAAGTGCCTGGTCCACCTCTTTACTGGCATGGGGACTATACCAGAGAGCCACATGAACCAGACCTCAGAGCGCCCAGGGTTCACCGCAGAGAGTCAAACTGGGGAAATGTCTGTCATCGCCGCTCGTATCCCTGCAGGCGGCACCATGACGCCCAAGTCTGAAGATTCTCCGACTGAATGTGGCTCATTCGCTCAGCTGCCAATAGCAGAAAACAAAGTGTGTCCAATGTAACTGTAACCCTCGCCCTAGTAGGTGTACTCTTACCGTCCTCCTTCCCCAAAAGTCAAGTTATGTCCTATGACAAGAACTCAGTGAAACTCTGGAACTTCAAAGAACTGTTGTGTGTTGGGCAGGTGAAGAGCCCAAAAAAGAAGACACAGCTTCACACACTGGATGGATATTTGATCAAAAAGATACAACAAAGAGGCTCAAAAAGAACTGTTTTAAAAGAAACACATATTACACATAAATGTTTGGTTTTTGCTAACAGGCAAATGAGGAATTTCTTCAAAACTCCACAGCTCATCTTTACAAACCTGAGCTCAGGTTTCATTAAACAACAGGTTGTCCAATTGGCTTCATTACTGTTTGTCCCACTTCAAAAATGCATCCTACCTTCCATCTCTTTCTTGGCTTTCACTTTGTAGCCCAGCGATGGTGCTCACAGAGAAGTTGTGTTGTTTATCTATGCTGTTTCAGTACTTTGACACAGCATCCCCCATAAATCTCTGTCCATCATAGGATGGATTGTTCTTCTGCACCTTTGCATCACAAGATGAGGTCTGGTCCAGGCAGTCGGTTTTAATGGATGGTCTGTTGGACCTCTAGTCTTCACTGGATAAAGAGGATGAAAAATGTATTTATGAAGAGGTAAAAAAAAAAAAAAAACACATCAACACACTAAGCACATATACACGGTCATACATAATGCCTTTACACATAAGCAGCTCTAAACAGCAGCGCTGTACTGAAATAGTAACCACAACTGTTGCTTGAACTACAACGATAGAAAATCCACATTAATCAGAAAGCTTTGCTGCTTGTTCATTATCTAAGACGGTAAAAACACCATAAGTATAAATGGTACAGTGAAATGTAATTGACAGCTGGTTCGTTCAGTGGGAGCCTGGTTACAGAGGTCTCTGTACTTTTGTTTAAATTTGTCAATTCGACAATCTCTGATGTATGATCTCTGTCTGTGCACCGTCACTCATCTGAGTGTTAGCCACATTAGATGTAGCATTGACTTGTAAAATGTCCACTTCTGACTTTGTGGTGCATGTTTGTTTACTTTTTCTGGACAGTTGCTACAAGGCTGTCCAGTGTGTGTTCCCTGTGCTGCACAGTTTACCACAGTGGTTCTCAAACTTTTTTACCACCTGAGAAAACACTGAGCTCTCTGAGTACCACCACGATGACCAACATTAGAATCTAGCAGCATAGGCCTTCCCTATTAGCTTCCACCACAGGAGAGAGACGTTTAGAAATGTTTAGAAAGATGTTTATGTTTAAATGTTGTATTAATTGTGCATGGTATGTTTCAGATTTATTCAGTTGAAAATGTAAATATGAATTTTCCCCACGTACCACTAGTGGTACATGTACCACAGTTTGAGAACCACTGGTTTACCACATTTTGCAGTGTTATGTCCATTTTCAGCAAACCAATGTGTGTTTTAATTATGTCTGGTCAGGTCCTGATTAGCAAACCTTAACGCATCATTAGTCTTAAAATTTGCTGTAACTTTCAATATTCACAACTGTGTCAAAAGTGAATTCTGTGCCAACAATTAAGTTCTTACAATGCAATATCTTTTTAGCTGCTGTTTGATCCTGTCCTGAACAAATTACAAATGTGAGGAAAACATTTGACTGTTGGGACATATAAAACTGCAAACACAGACACTCAACTTAATCCACCTCCTCACTAGCAGCACTCTGGCCGGTTGTTGGTACATCAGATTCCCTCAGTTCTTTTTAATTGTTCCACTGCATGTTAAGCGAGGTGAACGTCGTTTCTCACTTCACTATCGTAATTTTTCTCCCACTCTGCACATCGTTGTATTGTACTTAAAGAGGCATGTTAATACTTGTTCTAACGTATATTTTTTGTGCCATGCGTTTCACGTCTGAGCGTGTGCACTTTGGTCGTTATTGTCTGTATTAAAGTTTATTTTTCAAAATGCATTAAGCACTGTGTGGTTCTATAACTAGAAAAAAGAATCATTGTTCATTACTTGTTAGTCAGTTGTTCTGTATTTAGATAAGAGGTTATACATATATTTACAATACAAATTTTATTAATTTCCCTTTTGAGGTATATCAATAGACCTATAAAATTGAAGACTTGTGACCTGGTAGACAATAAGTCTCTTACAGCTTTTTTACAGTTAGGAAATAGAAAACTAATTTAAAAATAATAATCAATTCAATCTTATTAGACAAAATGCAAGTCAACTGCTACAATGACGTATACCGGTAAATTAGTGAGTGTGTACCTTTCAGTCCTTCTATGCATTCATTTTCTCTTCTAATTCCAAAACTTTGAAGGGTGACGTCGTCAGTGTACTCCCTGCAAAAGGAAGATAAAAGACTGAAACTCAGTCTCTTACAGGTTAAGACAGTTTTTAACTGTATAAACATTGAAGCAGAGAAAACTCATGGTTATGGCAAGTCCATTATAGTGACACATTTTAAAGGATATTCTTTTTTCAATTAGACTCAAAACAATATTGAAAAAATATATACAGATTGTACCGATGTTTAGTTTTACATTAAAGCAGAAACCATTTGTATGGAGTCCTTTCACCATCACATTTATCATGATGTCGCCGTCTTGTCAAGTGAAAACACTGAAAGGCGTCATTGATCACTGTTGAATACAGTGACAAGATGCGGTTCAGAAAAAATGAACTCATCTGTCTTTTTTACTGAAGATGCTGAATCAGACAAGTGAAGTAATAATCAGAGATTTACAGGTAAAGAGTTGAAGCTTATGAAACAACTCCAGATCAATAAAGACAGCGGAACAATAGAACCAGCTGACAGAGAGTCATCACCTTGCCAATAACAACACCAGAAAAAAAAGGGAAAACAAACAGTAATCCATTCTTCGACTCCCATGATAGCCCACTGTAAAGAATCTCTGTTCAATCAGCCTTACCATCAATTTTATGCTGTTAGGCACACGTTCCACGATCACTCATTTCAACCTGTCCTGTTTGCACCTCTGAGGCCATTGATAATCAGTGGAACCAAACTTACGAAGGCATGGCATGGTTTACTTTGCCTCTGTGGAAGCGCACTTGTGTATCTGGTGGTTTTCCACTTCAACACTGAGTCTCAACTCGTCCATGTTAAAAAAAAAAATCAACAATGCAACTCTCAGGTGCTTTGACTTCTGAATCAAACCACCTGAGAGTTGCATTGTCACCGGAAGTGACGTATAGGGTTGCGAATTCTGATATGCGCATTAGGTTCTATTTTACCTCATGCCTTTCCTGCATTTGCTTTTTGAAACAATTTCTCTTCAATTTGAACTATCAATTAAAATTCAAACGTCACAAAATTACAAAGCAAACGTTCCCTATTATATGTATTCTGAAATTATTAGTATTCCCTCAGACAAATACAATTATTAAAGCCATAAAGATTTACTTATAATTATACTTATAATATTATACTTATAAATTTGATGATGTGAGAAGACTGTGCATTTTATAGTTGCACATGAGAATGGTCCACATGAAGTAACCAAAAAATAAACAAAAACAAACAAAAACAAAATGGATATTCAATAAATGTACATTGTATCATCATTAATGTCTCAATAGCCACATTAGTGGTCAATATTCTAATTCACTATTCGTACCATTACCAATATTTTTAATTTATTGAACAAAAGTATTCGTTGTTTTTGTGCAATTTTGCAGCAGTAAAATTTTTTCTATAAGACAAAATGGCCACAAACCTTGGGGTGGGGGGGTGGGGTCATGTTCCTGGGGAGGCAGAACCCAAAGGCTGCACCACAGAATGAGGAATTAGATACAGTTCCTTTTTAACAACACAAATACAAACAAACAAAAAACTCAGGAACTGGTGGAGGAACAGAACTCAAAAAACTAAACCAAGCTGGGCTGCTAAACAGAACACTCAACAAAAGGGGGGCTGAGGTGTAAACCAATGAACTGCCCAGGACCAATGGAGGGAGAGACATAGACTATATATGTACTATACCCAGTAGTTGTACCCAGGGCACCAGGTGAGATGAATGAGACTAATGAGCACACGACACAGGTGAGTGTGGTGGAACTAATTACCAAGGGACAGACGTCAGAAGGGCACAGAGGTTATTTATGTCATAGACCTGGAATATTTCTGTTTAAAATTAATCAAATTGATTTTGTTCCAGTCATCCACAAAAGGCAGTGAGTTTTTTTTTTTTAACAGCAGCTGGCATCAACACAGATCGCCTTCTACTGGGTCTATGTTCCACTGCTCAATAATTCTCCACGTGTTTGTAACCATATTTGGTCTTTTGCTATCTCTGCATTACTAACAATAATCAGTCAGATGACAAGCAGCTTTTGGCAAAACAAACCAAACTGTTCAACCAGTGAACTGCAGCATCTCCACCACAGTGCATGTAATCCCTAAGGAGGGTCAATCTCAAAACAATCTTCAAATGACAGACTCAAGGGCAGAATTATTGATCTAATTCTCATTCAGTAATGTGCTTTGACTTGTTGTCTGGGATGATGAAATTACACTGCTAATGCCATTGATGGATTACAGCCACTGTTCAAAGTTAATCTTGTTATAGCAGAACATTGGTTAAAAAATGTAGGAAATGTTCAGCAGATGTTTTTTTTTTTTTTTTTGTAAAGGATTCCATTTGAAGTCTGGTTTATTTGGATCTCCCAGGTTAATTTTTTTGTAAACAAATCATTGAACTCATTTGAGGTCGACCTCAAATAACGAATCAGGGAATTACGTCAACCGTTTTGTAATTGACTGGGTTACCTGCGGTGCACTTGACCTGCGTTAAACAGAGTAATCTTCAGGCTCAGGTTTTCTGTTTTCAAGACCTCTATCTCAGTTAGTCCACTTCTCTCTCAGTTAGTACACCTCCACAGGGTTTCTCTGTGCACTGATTCAACATCTGTAGTGATGTTTTTGCTCAGTTTAAACTGGAAACAGACAAATACACGGAGAGCCGGTTGATTCATTTGCTCTCCTGTTTTCAAGACCTCTATCTCAGTTAGTTATTCATTTGCTCTCTTCGCTGTGACATGGACTTTTTCTTCTTCAAATAATAATTTTGACATTTAATCATAATACATCAAGAGAAACAAATGAGAACAACACTCTCAGCAGTCCTGACCTTTCATTTTATTTTTGATTATTAATATTATTTCACCTGATCTTGTCAGGATTTTCTTTCCTTTCCAACAAAGTTTTAACTTTATTATATTCATTTTTATCAGATCTGTGTTAAACATTAAACATCAGAACATAACGGAATGTTGGGGAACACATATTATTGCTCTTGTGTCTACATACTGTATCAGCTTTCTTCACTAAGACACTAGAAATTTCACAATTCCAGGAATAACACTGCAGATTATTCACAAGATGGAATAACGTATGTGTGATAATTTGGTGCTACATGTTGCTAAGGGTCACTGCTGCCTCAGCTGTCCTTACTATTGAATTTTTAATGTGTGATGCTTCCAGATAGACATGTGCACTGCAGGCTGTTACAGCAATGATTTACATTATAGAGTTTTCTCATAGTGGCAAATAATCCTACTGCAAACGTTTTATAGTGTATAGTGACATGTCTGAATGTGTATATAGGTAACACAGTTTACTACGAATGCAGATAAATGACTTTTCCCACACAGGGGACAAACTTTGCCATCTTGTTTTTGTGTCTAACCTCTTGTGTGTTTGTTTATTTCCTGTTCTCCTTTATCCCCAGACTAAGTCAGCGGTTGCCAACCTTTTTTGGATCAATTTTGACGTCACAAAGTTATGGCGACCTAAGAGACATGGGTTCAATTTGCAGAGGAGCCACACTTAATGGCGCCTCCTGTGGCAGTCCTTGAGGCTTGCAAAGACACCCATAGTAGGACTTTAATTCATCTTCTAGTGACCCTAAAAAGGTTTGAGTGGTAGAAGAGGAATGACTGAACATGAACTAATGAAAATCATTATATGATCAAATCAAAACCAGCCAAGTCACAGGATGAGTGCTGTGACAGACTCTTGAGTGGATCAAAACATGTCAGTTGCTGTTTTCGTGATGATGAATGAATACCAGTTAACCACTAAACAAGGCTCTATTCATCAGTAGATTTAAATGGAAAAAAATCACAAGGGCAACGACACTGTCAAAACCAGGGCACTAAGGAGCAAACTAAGGAGAACTGAACTGAAAGAATATATATATATATCAATCATTCAAAAATCATTATTTTTTTTTTTTAATGTCAACTAGTCACACACTTATACCAAAACTGTGGGTCATGCTGTAAAAGGCAGCCGCCTTGTTAGCCGCCTTGGTAGATTTACAAAGGATGTGAACAACAATGTCCTCTCAACAGTACTGGAACTAAATCCCCTCAAGTGTTCTGTATGCTGTGTAATCTATCACCGTCCTGATAACTTCCAGGAGCGACTCTTCCTTGGAGATTAATTTTTGCAGAGCTGCTTAGAGTTTTTCCACAGACATGCAGGCGATGACCCACAGATCCATCTCCCCGGCCTGATTGCCCTATCGCCACTCCTCAGTTGAAGCTACAATGGACTGGTGTTCAATACTCCATCGGTAAGGGAGACAGGGAATCAGGGTTATCTGGTGACCTTGGAAAAAGCCTATACTTCATCTTTGACTCTAGCCAACCACTGCATCCATATTTAACACCAGCCCCACATGTGCACACTGATTCTGTACAGCTGTGTGTGCACAACACACTCTCACATACATGTCCCATATCAACCATAAAATGTTTTCTTTTCTTTATTTTAACTAAGGTTATATCATGTAGCCATTAAACTTAGAATTGTGTTTATTGACATTCCTCTCAAAATATCATTGGCCTCTGGGAATGTCGGAATATTGTTTCACTTAATCAAAGCATTGATATCCACGGTCTTAGAGTCAAGACCTGAAATGATTAAAAAAAAAATCAAAAAAAAAAAAAAAAATCAAGAATGCACAACTGAAACGATTGTTTTCATCTAAACTAATTACCATTGTCCTCTGTTCAGTCACAGCATTAGAGCCACTGCTGCACTGTTCTCATTTGAACACAAACTGCATCCATTTTCATTATCAACTACAGCTCTCTCAGTGAAGGCTCCTGAAAGCTGCAGCTGGAATCCAAAACATCAGGCCGGTACTAAGTGTAGTTTCTCACCAAAGGTCAGCACCTCCATACCAGCCATGTCCACCGCAATCCATCACTTTGTTTCTGCTCGTCCGTGACTGACACACTGCGGGCTAGTTAATCAGTGAGACTGGTGAAGTCCTTCAGTCACTGAAGGTTGTTGACACCATTGAGAGAAAGCAGCAGAGTGTTTATTTAAGTATATATTTAGACTGGACAGACTAAATGAATACATCATTAAAGAAACAGTCCCCTCCTCAACTGAATTCCTAAAGGGAAAATAATAATCTAGTTTGCATGGATCACATCATATTTGGTGCATTCATGCAATGAAAAAAAAATATTGGAATGCAAGCATTATTATTGCTCCTCAATTTCCAGGAAACAGACTGTGTCTCTGTGTCTCTGTGTGTTCCATACATGTGCAAATACGTAACGCTGTGATAAATAAAAGCATGACATTTCCCTGTTTATCTGCCGGTGTCAGCAGTTCTCCTGATTCACAGGTTGGGTGAAGGAGACATTTCTAAGAAATGTCATAATGGAATAACTGACAGTGCTCTCAGAGGACTAGTCTTTTCTGGGGTTTCATTTTCAGCACTATTGGTTGTTAGGTTGCCGTTCAAATGGTACCTTGAGTTATTGAATTACACTGACAGTTAAATTAAGCACAGACGTGTTTCCGATTGACTACAAACTAAAACGTTTTTTATCATTTTTCCACCACCTGTCATCTTAGCACATTCACACTGCTGGAAATGAATTAATGAGGTGATAAACGTCTTCTCCTGTCTCCTAATTCCATACAAAATGATACAGATTTGTGACGGCTGTCAGGTGAAAACTATAGCTGCTTCAATGACGACGGAACACAGACTCATTTCAAGTAATAAAAAAGTGAAATCAGTAAAAATGTGCGATTTAGAGCGAGCTTCAAGTCTTGTTGTTTTATTGTTTGTTCTGACAGCATTTCTTAGTAAAATGATTCTTTAATGGCTGATTCTTTCTTTACTCTGCAGCCGTTCTTACTCCAACTCATCACCTTATATTTATCACACAGCCAGTCAGGCTGTTGTTTTGACTCCGTTATGGCCTTATTCCCGACCTCTGCAAGACAGGAGTGCAACTGACAAATGGATTGGAAACTTTGTAAATTATTCAAGTAGTCTGTTGAATATGAAATCTGAAGATATTTCTTTAAGATCAGGCTGATCACCTAGGAGTGGTAGGATGAGACAAAAAACGTTTCTGTCTCACCTTTTGGACCCCTGGCTCATAAAAGTTTGACACATGCCGTCCTTCGAGTGAACCACAAATAGAACCTTGTTTTTATGTTAAAATTGGAGAGGGTTATAATTATGGATGGTATGAATACAGATTAGTCCTGCAGCGCCTCCTTTTGTCGATAGGACTTGTACTTCACCCTCCCACAAGCACACACAAAAGAAAGAAGAAGAAAAAAAGAAAAATAGAATGTATTGAAATGAAAATTGATCCTGACCAAAACACATTCATTTATGAATTTAAACTTTTTTCACTCTCACTCACATCTATGGTCCTGCCTGTTTTTGTTTTTGGACAGTGGCAGGGACACACAGGGAGGAAAGACATGCCAACGACATAATGAAAGCTCATGAGTCACCCCCCAGGGATCAAACCAGTGATCTCCTGCTGTGAGGCAAGAGCACGAACCACCACCTACATCATTTCTATATTCTCAGGGACCAACCATTGTGTCCAGACCCACTGCTGTGACCTTAAAGAACCTAAAATCTTACATTTCCTCACTCCAGGATCATTGACTTTGTTTGCAAAGATAACAGGAAATTACAGTTATGGAGCTTAAAATACCCGAGCCTGGCTGTGCTCTGTCAGTTCCTGTTGTTAGACAGTGACAGAGACTCAGATCAGACCTTAGCATCCTGTTAGAGATAAAGTCTAAAAAGGTAGAGCAACAATTTGGAGTAATAGTAGAAAGTAGAACAGAAAAGCGTTCTTACCGTCCCCTCGTCACAATCAAAAAAGTACTTAAGTACTTAAGTACTTTAAGAACGCTCTTACAGACAGACACTGCTAATTGGCTCTAAGGAATAATTGCGGAGTGAATTCTTAGAAAAACACTTTCAAACAGCTTTCAAATGATTTATATGAATGACAGCAGTTACTCTCTCCTAGCTGATCCTGGCCTTTTTAAACAAAGCATGATGGAGGTTTTATAAAACAAATAAGACTCAAAGGACAAAAGATGATAAAAAGTGATATTTAAAAGACAAGCTCAAAGACACACTGTTGCCGGGGGCAGTCCATTCTTTGGGGAGACACCACTGCACCAATGCCAAGAAACCTGTTGGTATTCTACATGTCTACCATGTCGTATTTACTCACATTGCCTCCCTTGCTTGGATGGTGGGACAGGAAGCTGGTCATTCAAGAGAATGGGAATGCTTTTGTTAACCTTTTCCTAAACCTGGGTTATTGTCAAGGTGTGTGTTAGTGCGTTTACCTGCAGGGATTCTCCAACATTTATTATTTGATTTCACAAGACCTGCCTCAGTTCCTGAGGTAAGCTAAAAATCAAAAGGTCAGAGAACTTCCTGTACTACAGTGGCATAGTAAATCATTCTTTCTGCACATCTGCTACTCACCAGACATAAGGTTTACGGCAGAGGCCATTACAGCTACACTGTCTGGTTGGTATAAAAATGTGAGACAAGTTTGTTAATCACAGGGGTTTGTTTTTTTTTTTGTTTGTTTTTTTAACTGTTTAAAATGTTGCTTGTTAAAACGAATGAAGACCTTTTTACACACATCACAATTATATTTCACTTTTTTGACATCAAAAACTTTTTCCTCTGTAATTTCCTCACTATAAATTTCCTTAATAGGCAGCAACCGTCTAAATATAACCAGCCTTTCTTCCACTGTGACTTCAGGACCTCCTCACTTGGCCCACACAATCCTAATAGCTGCCTAATAGCTTGTCTCTCTCCCTTCTGACAGCCTTTGTCAGTAAATTATTAAGTAGAATTACACTGGAGAAAATATGAAAAGTCTCCTGAGACACTGTGGCAGGAAACGTAGCCCTGCCTGTCTCTGCATCCCACAGACCAATCCTGCATGTAAATGGATTTCAGCCAGCTTCTTCTACTTCTTCCTCAAAATGGGCCTTCCTTCAAGATCAGTCATTTCGGAAAACACGTTTTTTTCGACTAACTATAGGTTAGCTCTGTCACATTGCTAAAGTTTACATCAGGGGTTCTTGACCTTTTTGACCTTGCAGCCCAATTGTTACAGTACATAGAGGCCCACAGCCCATTAAATATTACCATGGTACATTTTTAATTCACCTTACTCAGGGTTTTGATTTGTATTCAATAAAACAAATACCTGCGGCCCCTGTAGGTGGCATTAGTGGCCCAGGTTTGGGCCACGCCCCTGTGGTTAAGAATATTGGTTTACATGATGCATATTTGGGAATGGAGACCACTATACTGTGTGTGTCAGTGGGGTAACAGATGTCTCATAGTGTCTGTAATTTGAGCACAGCTGGTGGGGAGTAAATGGTGAGACATCACTTATTATCCAATAAAAAAACATTCACACAGATCTTTTACCTCTCAATATGTTCCACAACCTTTTTGACTTTCTTAATAAATACTTTTGACATATTAAAAATGATGATGATGAACATCAGTCACAAACAAATGAACCATGTCGTTAAGAAAACTTTGGAAAAAGTTGCACATGGAGACTGTGCCTTCTGCCCACAGGCATGTGGAGCCAGGTTGCCCAGAGGTGAAACGAAAGCAGGCTGCTGGGAGTGACAGTTGGTAACAGAATTCATCACAATAAGTCAATAAGACAGGTGGCATCCAGCAGTGGGTTCTAAATGTCAGCTGCTGAAAAATACACTCTTAGAAACCAGCAGACGTGATTCTAAACAATCATTTCTTTAAATGCTATTTTACAATGGCAGATGTTCTGTGGCCAATTTGTTTTGAACTACACTCCGGCCTGTGTGACAGACGCTGCGCAATCTGATCGTCAGTGTGTGACTAAAAGAGTGGCACATCATTTAGACTGGACACAAACAAATCAGTTTCAGGAGTCTGATGTTGTTATGTGTGAAACAAGATAATCAACATTTCACATGACATGAGAAAATACAGTTTTCAGTGGAGTTTTGAATTTTGTTGCCCTCGGCTGCTCTGTATTTCCACACATACTGCAGAATTGGAAAACATAACGTTTCAAAGCGTGCAGTCGTTTTTCCTGTACCTTGTGCTACATTTTCTGGTACGTAACATTGACATTGACATTTTAATAATACAAGCCATGTATAGGATGCATCGCCCTTAGCCTCGCTCTCTCCGTGAGCGCTGAGTGCAGCAGCTGTGTGCTGAGCAGGCAGATATATTGGTGTTATATGTTATATCTTAATGTAAGCTTCGCACAGCAAAAGGAATCGTGTAAACATCAAATATATAATCAGAGAGAATGTGTAAATCTTTTTTTACAGGCCAACAAAAGAACATCCAAAAATGTATCTGCTATAATATCGTACATACATTGCTAATACTACAAATCCCGCCAGTATATAGTGGCTATATAATGGCAGACCAGCTCTAATACACATTTGATATAATGGTGGGCCAAATATAATTACACCATGGACCAGATTTGGCCCCCGGGCCTGAGTTTGACACCTGTACACTAGAATATCAGGTAAAAATTAGGTTAGGTAGTCCGTAGAGTACCAAGTTGGAGGTTGGTCTAGGGGTAATCGTTTTTTGGGAATCATCCTCTTCCTCTTCCTCTCTGTAAGGATCTGTAAGGAAAGAGATTTTTTAAGAGTTAGAAATAGACTCGTGATATGGTTTTGATATTCATGTTTTTAACTAAACCTTAACAACCACACACTAAAATCTATACAAATGTAAAAAAAAAAAAAGATAATAAGACGCTTTTTGATTCATTATAAACTATAAATTATGGCTGTCAAAGTAAAAATAAAAATCGGGTTATTGTTTATCAGACTGAAATGTACAGAATGACCTGCCATGTATAGCCATTAATTCCATTGTCCATCCATTTATTAATCATGATTAATTCTGATTAATTTCCATAATGCACAACTACCATGTGATCAATCAGATTTAAATATTTCTACAAAAAAAGGAAGAAATAAAAACCAAAAGAAGAATTTGCACTTCAGTACCAAAGAATTTTTCAGGATCTTTCCTGTTCTTTTTTCTCAAACTGTGCAGAGTTTGACCTGGGGTCCATCCTGCCCTTAGCAGATCTGAAAGACGACAAAATACAGTAGAGTGTATGTTATTATAAACACAATTTCCGAAAATCTGTGGTGTGATTTATTCTATGATAATACGTAGTATGCATTTTGGAGAAGGGAATGTTTAAGTGGGAGCTGAAAGGATGGAAAAGAGGAAGACACCAGAGGAGGTGTAAAAGTTTTAGAAGATGAAGACAGAAGATTCACTGCACTAGAAGTTGGCAGTGTATAAAAAGCGGGAAATAAACGTACGGTCCAGGATCATTGCCATGTTGTACAGGTTCTCTTCAAGGCTGCATGGCCACTGATTGAGGACGACACAGCTAACCCCAGCTAAACTCAACAGCAAAGCAGTCTCCGAATGTTTCTCCAGGAACAACTGATCTGGCCTGAAAAAATGTTTTGACCAAAAAAGTAAAAAAATAAATAAATATAATGATAACGATTATCCGTAGACCAAGCTTCAAAAATAATATTCCAAAGACGATTGAATAGACGTGTTTGAATAAAGTCATTTGATTACCTTTTGTGCATGTCACAGTTTGACTGGCCAAAAGCGCTGCCATTGTTCTGTGCCTGTTCAAAGAGCAGAGCTAGTCGACACTCTGAAAAATATACAACAATTGCGGTTATTACAACAACGACACTGGGATAAATAATGGCAGCTTTCTAAGAACATCTGTCCATGAACACTTTCTTTTATCCTGGCAGATATAATTTCAATCGTAATACTCATTGATCACACTGGTCACTTCTCCCTCTTTTTACATGGTATCAAACCTGTATTACAATTCACAAAAGCCTCTCTTACATACAGTTGTCATTAAACACATACAGACGTGAGATGAGAAGGCGTGTACTACAACATTAAACTGTGACAGTCAACAACTTCAACGGGGGAAAGTCAAACTTCAAAAAAGCCAATAAAAAAATCTATACGCTGATGACACACAACTGTACCATAGCATCAAAGCTTCCAGTTATCTTTCTTTCGTTAGTCTTTTCTCAACATCCTGTAGGAAATTCTGAATGTCAGCCGTCTCAGACAGTAACAAACAAACCTTTAGGTTATTTCTCAAATTTTAGAACGTTACAAATAATTTGAAGAAATTGTTAAAAAAACAACAGAACCCACGTGTCTGCAACCATTAAACCATTGAGTATGTCAGTGAAGTGAGGTAAAAATAGCCCTTGCTTTGCCACAGAGCTGTTACATCAGACCACTGAACTCCTATAGTGTTCCAGCTCTTTAAAGAATCCTCCACTTAGATCACTGTTTTATCATATCTCCTTGACCATAGCTTGCATCAAGTCTAATTTCTCTTTTTTAATAACATAATATATATTCAGTATATAAATACATATACCCCCCCACACACACACACACATATATATATATATATATAGTAGTGGCAACGAGGCGGGTGCCTCTGGTTTTATTCATTTTAATGTGTTAAACTTTAGGACATATAGGAATGTATAAAAATAAATACAGAGTACCTTCATTAGTGTACAACCTGCCCTGGGGGTTATTTAAAGAAGCTGCGTTAATGTACATTAATGCGAGTTTGTGTCGTAGCTAGGACTAAACAGATCTTACATTAAGTGATAAATGTTTACTGCAGCGCACATCAAGACAGAGTTGGACCTCTGAGAGTTTCCTATGATAAATACTGTATTTGGGTATGAGGGTTAAAGGTAAATAGGTAATTAAAATAGTGTCTGCACCGTCTGCTGCTGTTTCACATTTAATTCACTTGATGTGTTTTTTTTCCAATGACTTTTAGACAGCAGGGAATATCTATATAAAGACATTCAGTGCATTCATTATACAGTGTGCAGTTCTGTTTCATAAATGAAAATGACGCATTTGCCGTGGGCCGATGTTAAATCAGCTGCAGCTGACAGTGGACTTTGAACTAAAATGGAAAATTATAACACTAAGTCATGCCTTAGCATCCACGAGGCTTTTAGCGGGATGTTGCCTGAAAGAAATCATTTAACTTACATACAAACACTGTTTAATGAGAGTGAGGACTGACTGTGGCTTGCGCCGTGTCCACAGTTATTTCTTCTTCTACGCCAGGGTAAAGCCACAAGTATAAGGCTAAGGTGTTAGGGCAACACTTAATCTTTGTCCTACTAGAATGAATAAAAATATGCAGGGATGAAGTGAGACATGATAAAGATGTAGAACACAGATACAGGTGCAGTAGGTTCAGTGAAAGGCTCTGTTTATTTTTCTGAGAAAACACAAATCTGCCCCCACTTGATGACACACTGATGAAGAACGAGGTCTTAGTAACAGCTGGTTTTCAGACTTGGTGTCAGTCACACTATAGTTAGATGCAGCAACACCAGGCCATGGATGACACATATGTCAACCCTGCGGCGTTGAGTAGGGCAGGTCTGACACTGTCAGTCATGTCGGAAAGTCCAGTCCTTCTCAGACTTCCTGCCTTTGTGTTGTGAAGGTGTTGTGAACGTTTGGTCACGGTTGTTTTTAAATGTGTCAATCGGTGAAAGACAAACTGAAGAAGGTCATTAGTTATGTAAAGAGTGTTTATTAGATGAGTCCCAGCATTTATTGTCTAAGGCAGAGGTTTACAAAGTATGAGGTCCACCCCCTAAGGGAATGCCAAGTTATTATTTATTTAGGTGTAAAAAATATCATACTTTGGTGAGAATATCCATTTGTAGGAATTATCCTGACATAATATAACTTGGGATTTGGGGACGCAGTAGTATCAAGCCCAGCTTGACCACCTAGACTATTAAAGATCCCAGGTTCTATTCTCACCGATAGAAATAAAAAGCTCAGGACTTACCACAAAGACTGAGGGACACAAGTTTGGAAGGTGGAATCTTGGCCATAAATTGCTCGTTTCCCTGGTAAATAAAGGCACTGCATTTGCACAGGAGCTGCTCCAGGTCCGTCAGACTGAACAGAGAAATTAATAAATCAGGATAGAAGAGCACATACAGTATGTATAAAATACATGGTATTTATGGTTGGTAATAAATGTAATAAATGTACCTTTTTTGTTTAATTCCTTTAAACTCCTCCCACAAATGGTTCAATTCTTTACAGTGAGTTTCCATCATCTGTGAAATTCTCTGGGCCATGTTGGTTTCTTCAGGCGTCACAATGAGTGGTGTTGAACATGACCACAAACATAACAGTGCTGAGGATTGAGTCAATCACAATGGTATTTTCTCTATTGCATTACAAGTACATACCAGATTTACTGCTGTTGTTGTGAGGCTCAATAATATCTGCAGGTCCATGTCAGGAAGAAAGAACTGATGTAAATGAATCTTTATAATTCTGCATTACATCTTATATAAAACATTGTTTGTTTGTTTTTTACAAAAAGATACATTTAAGGTTTTGTTTGTCGACTGGGAAGGTGTTTGATGGTGTGTCAGGAGTCTGTGGATAAAAAGAAAAAAAAGGAAACAAAAATTACAGTCAGTGAAAATACAGTGGCAGCAGTGAAGGGCAGGACCTAAGATCCCATAAAGGCAGGATCTTCGCCAAAAACCTATGACTGTAATTGACTGAAAAAGTCACACATAAAAGAGACGCAGGAGGAGTTTAAGGAAAAGTTCATTTAATAGCAGCTAAAAAGCAATTCTGCTGTGTGTATCTGCCAGGCTGAGATTAATTTACTGAACTCACCACTTTGATTCTTTGGCTTTGATCCGCCCTCCCCTTGCTTCCTTTGCCGACTCTGCTTGCTTTCTTGTTGTCACTTTCAACTGTCACAAACAGGAAGCAGGCGACAGATATGGGCGCTGGTCTGTGATAAAGACTGCATAGCATTTGTGTAGGGAGCAGACATGTAATGCAGTCTCTATGAGATAATTGAAAGTAATGTGTATTTACCCAAATGGTGGTGCACTGGTGGACATTTATTGTACTACAGGCCAAATGTGATTATGTGTAGTATTTTTGACAAAGTTTGGATCAGCTGCACTTTATAAGACTCTTTAAGATCATATGCATAATAAGCTCTGGTGAAGCCACATGAAATGATTTAATTTGAATCTTTGACACAGTGTTTCCTCGTTGGACAAAAACTGATTTTGGTGAAGTCAGCATAAAAAAAGCACAGATTAAAATAAAATTCATGGACTCCTTCTTGACCTGTGTAAACAAATAATTCACTTTTACTTCAAAAACGTTTCCTGACTCTTTACATTTGTTCATGAGTAGCCATGCTGACTCAGACAGTGATTTCTGCCTCGAGAGTCAGACACACTCAAACCTTGTCACTTAGCTCGGCGCTGCCAAGCTAAGCTCAGCTGGATAGTCTGACATGCTGAAAGGCCATTGGTGTAAGAATATATATATACAGTATATAATAGTAAGTGTTCTTTTCAGTCTGCATGAGTTAATTAATCAAAAACCCTTGATTAACAGAGCTAACATTATTAATATCAAATCAAAACTTTCACATTTATGATACTGATTTTCCAACTCATAAAGTTCTAATGATTTAATAACACTATCTTTGTGAAAATCCAGTTTCTCGTTATATTATATTTTTTTTATATCAACACTTCCTTAAATTTTTTGACCAAATACTTTATACTTTGTTTTGCCAACATGTCTGATGTAGATGTAGATTGTAAATTTTGTAAAGCACCACAAAGAAGAAGATTAATTGTCTTCACAGGTTGACTTTTCTCCATGTATGACTAATCCTGAAATGTCATCACTATGGTAACAGGAGAGAAAAATAACTTTTATTTTTCTCTTTTTCACCATTTAATACTGCAGTCATTAAAATATGCCATAAGAAAAATGATTTGATCTGATCCGATCTATCATATTATTATTATTATTATTATTATTATTATCAGTAGTAGTAGTGACTCTGACTATAATCTAGGCTCCAAGAACAGGTAGAGTCAGTAATGGAACACCTTGGTTTCCCCTGCAGGTCATAAACCCACTGGAGACACTTTGTGTCCCAGGAGGTAAAGGCAAGGTCCTGGAACCCTACAGACTAGGTGATAGGTTATTAATGATAGTCTTCTTTAGCTGCCCCTCACCTGGCCTTTTACCCATGACCCACTTTTATTAGATTTTCCAGAGGCTATTCGCCCCACACTACACAGCCCCATAGGATGGTGAGTACAGACTGTACACAGACTCTCTAATTATCTGGTCTTCTGGACCAGAATACAAAAGTTTGGGTTTTTTTTGTTTTTTTTTTTCAGTTTCTTTAATAACGCAGACCACATGAAATGTTCTCTTTGATCCTCACAACTTTGAAATCCAGTCAGATTTCAAAATAAGTTGGGATTGGGCTGGATTTGGCCCTGGGCCACAGCTGATTAGCTGAATACTGTGATGTCACCGTCTGTGTTACTGTATGACCGGGTACTGAAGTATTAGCTTGAATACAGTTACTTGGCTCTGTAGCTTTGCAGTAAAGCACAGGTGGCTCTGGGGTGTATTTTGGTATGGAGGGTCTCTGATTAAAAAATAATACAATACTAATGAAAGGCAAATCTCAACATAATAGCTGCTCATATCCCTGGTCAGTATTAGCAGTAATATTATAGCTTAATCATTGTCCAGACAGGTTAAGGGTTTTTGTTAATAAACCATCAGGATATTCACGGAATAAAATAAATTAAAAACAACTACTGAGGGCATGAGTGTGTCTTCATACCTCGCTCTAATTCCTCTCCGTTCAGCCGACTGTGAAGCAGCTGAAGGGAAAAGTCTCGAGAAATAGAGATCACGCCCTCTCCTCGAAGGATGAGCAAGGATTCCAGGGGCAAATCCAGCAACTTCCTGTCAGCCAGCAACACCAAATACTCACCTGAGTCTACAGGCAATTTGTCTGTGTGAACACAAATAAACAAAATAATTTCTTCCCTCATCAGTTTTTTTTATCACAAAGGCTGTGTATAAAATTTGTATTGAGATTTCTGCTAAAGTACTTTTTTATAGCGCTTGGCTCAGCATGTATCACTTAGAACAAATGTAATATTGTGTTTAAACGAAAGACAAAGAGGACAACTGGACCACATGACAAACGGACACACCCACCACAGCCTACCTTTATTAAAACTTCCTTTTTCCACTTTGTCTTTTGGTTTTGATATTTCTAGTTCAGCCTGTGATGCAGCCTGAAACCTGGAAAACGTTGAGACATAGGATAGATGAAAGGTTGTTGGAGTAAGTGCCACAGCAGTAATACAACAGTTTAGAATAGGAAATTATTCTCATCCACAAACACCTGACAGTTCTCATTGGAAACTAATCATGTTGCTAAGGCCCAAAATAGTGCAACAAGGACGTGAGGATGTGGGTGATTTGAGGTCAGATAAAAGTGTCGGTAAAGATAAACAAGATGCGCGTTATTAATGTCAAGAAAAGTGGATAATGAACTATAAAAGTCAACTGTGACACCTGGAGCGACTGCTTCTGACAACACAGCATAAACAACAACAACAATAGAAACGAAAAATACCGCTTAGAATCTAGCTGGATTCTGAGTTGACTGACAGTTTTCTCACCTAAGGAAGGAGAAGTCAAACTGTGTGAGCAGTGGATGCAGATACTCTTCTGTGTCCTGTATGATTTTGCTGAAGTGAGATGTCAATTTCCCATCTGTATCTGTTTTCTGTACAGGAAACAGAAGTAAACATTTCTTCTGTTACATCCAAAAAAAAAAATGGTGCAAAAGTCAATTAAGAAACTGCCATGAATTTATCATATTTACATAATCCCTGTTAATTATCAACTACATCTCCAAGCTTTCTGCCACAGCTAGTGTAGAAATACAGTCATCCTCCACCATGTGGTCAAAAGGTGCATTGTAACTGAGCTTCTAATGGATAACATATCTCTGGTGTCTTCAGTTGGTAACCTATGCAGTCGTCGCAAATCACAGGTGCAAAACTGAAAGTTTTGACACAGACGTTCCAAGTTTGGGTTGGGGTCTTTGGTTGAGAATAACTGATTTGTTACCAGCCTGATGATATTTGCCATAAATTCAGGATCAGCCTAAACACTCACATAATAATACAAAGTTATCTTTGTCTGACAGGCCATTTGTTAATGGCCTGTTATGTCACGTAAACAGCAGATACAACATGAGTGACAGTCCATTAGCGTAGCATTGTTATCATGTCAGCTGTGTGAAGTTATTTAATGGGCAAAGAAGAGGAAAGTTAAACAGCTAAGAACCACTTGTCAGTATCTGATCGAACGTGAGCAGCAGTGGATATTTAACATGTCTGTAGGTTCGATGGTGAAGAAACTGTTTTTTTTTATTTTTAAGTTATGGTCTACAATGGAATTGTCTGATATTACATTGAAGTCTAGGCTTTTACACTGCTAATTAAAAAATTAAAAAAACTAAATTTCACATTCACATTTCCTTTTTTAATGATCATATGGTTCTGCTGTGTCTGTCTAATTAATTATAATATGGTGCAAAAAGCTAAATGAGTTTTGAAGTTTGGACATGGTGATTAATGTCTTAGAAGTCTTTGCATTTAATTATTTTTGATTGGTATCTGCAGATACTCCAGTAATGGTATCAGACATTAAATGTGACATTGTGTTGTCTTTTACTAAGGACTGTGTGGATTTCTTTGCGAGCAGGACAACTGTTTATTGCTCAGGCTCCTCAATAGGTCAGAACATGTGAACACAGTTACACAATGTCTGGTTAAGAAGTGCAGTAGTGTGAGTTAACAATTTTTTAAACAATTTGTAAGGAGACATAAAACCTGTAACAACCTGATGCTTCTCAGAATTCTCCACACTGTTTTTCTTAGAGAGGGCGTTTCTAGTGTCCTGACCAAAAGCCCTGGTCTGTTCCCTCAGTGTCAGTAGAGCCTGTGGGCAGACCGATGTCTTGACCACCTTAGAGCACATCAGAGCACCTGCAACAATGGAACTGACAGAAGATCAGACATGCACACACACAAAGATTTATAATTGGTCCCTGTGAGTACTTCTACACCATCCTCCCGTCACTCCCCTTCCACTGACTCACCCTGCAGCTGCAAACCATTCTTTTTTTCTGTGTTTGTTTCAATATTTACAGTAGATATCTGCTTCTGTAAAAGACTGTAATTAAACTTGATGACCTATGACAGCTGGTCTTCTGCTGCTGACCACTCAGCTCATTTAGCCTCTATCATCGGTAAACCTCAATTTTATCTTTACCTAGCAGATGATGATGGATCAGAATTCTTCATGTATCTGTCTACAGTGGCATGTTGAAGCCAGGAATAAATTATGCAGTACTATCAGTGTAGTCATTTTATATTGCAGTATAATGGTATATCAACAAAGTCAAATGAAGTCATTTGATTAAAGTCTACTTGGTTTGTATTGTGGATATTGGTTTAAAACAGAAGTCATCCTGACCTGTCGTCTTTCCTTTTTGATTTTCTGACATCTGGTTCCCTTCATACAAAGCACCATAAAGTTCTGACCTGATCAAAAAAAACACAATCACAATCATTTAATCAACACTTCGATCCTCAGAGCTTCACATAACCTTGTAGGCTGCATGCACTGTTTTACCGTTATAGTAAAGTATATAATTCCTGAAAATCCACAAAAAATATAATAATATAAAAATATATTTTTGTATTACGCCCTCTAGTGGCTGGTTAACTACACTATAAACAGAACCGGTCTGATTAACAGAAGGTTAATCTGGTCTACATCTGATCGTATTCATCACAAAGAAACAAAACAATTCACCAATGTTTTTTTGCACAGAAAGGTAAAAGAGATGAACAGGTACCCATCCTCAGAGTGCTGCAGCAGGAGAATCTTCAGGTTTGGTGGGAGCTCTGAGAGGATATTTAGGTGGTTGGGATTAATAGACATCTGAGTAAATACCTGCAATGTTATTGACAGGAAGTATTTTAGAAGCAGAGACAACTACAAAAAGATATCAACAAACAGCAAAATTTTCTCTTACTGTAGATGCTGTACATTTAATTCTGAAATGAAGGTTGAAAGTCTGGTATATTTATCCTGGGCAGAAGTAGACGTTGCAGCAGGGTTGCTTTGCATATGAAATCCTACATTATTGTATGAGTTATTCAGACAAGTCGCCTGCAACTCTTAGATGAAAAAATAATTAAATTAAGTTAAAGAAAAAGCTGTAAAGTTAGGCCTTAACCCAGCTGCCCTTTCGTTAATGTCAAATAATATTTTATCTAATCAATAATGAATTAATTACAATTATTGCCTACATTGCCTGTTGTGGTCACATATATCCATCCAAAAGAGAAAAAACTTTTAGCATATGTTTTAAGCTGTGCCACTAAAAATATATACAGTAAATCACAGCAAAGGCTTTAACTGCACCAGTATTGTGTCCCCTCACTGTGCGGTTTTACCAAGGCAGCTATGACAGGTTCCATAAATCACAAGTTGGTAAGTTTGCGACCTGGTACCTTGGAGATGCTGTTAAGGGAGAACTCCACTCCCTTCAGCATGCTGCAGGCCGTCTCCTTCTGAGAGAGGAGCAGATTCCTGCGAAGGCTGAGCAGAGCTGAAAGCTGCGATGAAGCAGTGTCAGCACAGGCAGAAGTGAGGACTTTTACTGCCGTTGACACGGTGCAGCAGCTCTGGTGTTAAAAACAGAGATGAAGACTGATGAAGCACATGAAAGAGAGGAGAAGAGGAGCAAGAAAGTAATGGCTTTTTTTATTACATATGTGTATGATGTCTCAAAGAATGTAATTCTGTAAGTCAACATAAAGTAGAAGCAGAAGGACATAGATAATAATTATTATATATATATATACTGTATATAATGGTTTTAGATCTGATGATTTTCATTTATACATTTAAACATGTAAATTATATGTTTTACATATAGTACATATTGAAATCCCACAATGAGGAAATTTACAGTGTGAGTCTTTGCAAACCACACACGTTGCCATAGGAGGCGCAATTAAGTGTGTGGTTCCTATGGGATTTGAACCCAGGACCTTCTGCATGTTAGGCAGAGGTGTAAAGCAGCCATGTTAAGTGCTACACAATGGCACTGCAATATATATTATATTAAATAGTAAAACATACCTCAAAGTACAGTACAGTACATGTATAATGCACATATTGTGTGATATGAAGCCTTTTACCTGGAAGAGAGCGAGGTATTGACCTGTCACTGCAGGATCAGATGGACCAACACAGGCCAAGATATTCATACAAGCCTCAGCTAGCAGTGAAGGCAGCATGTTATGTTGGAGACCCAGGCTGACACCTTCAGTGAGGGCCTCAGTCGCCAGTGACAACAACCGCTGGGCACGAAGCCTTCTCTGTTGTACAACCAGGACGAAAACACACAGGTACAGTATGTGTACCATCAGTGTGTGTGAGTATTTGAAGGTATTACTGACCTAAAGACAGGAATTCTGTATGCTATGTATTGCTTGCATTGCTATATATAACATATGTGCATGTATTGACCAGCCTGCCTGCAGTCCAGATGTGTTTTCCGATGAAAATATCTACCTCCTGGGGAAGAGGAGGGTCAGACAACAGCAGCCATGGAGTGTCAGGCAGCTAAAGTCTAAAAATGATGAAAACTAAAGACTTTTTTTAAAACAGTTTTTAACAATAGTTTTATTCTTTGCTCAGAGTCAAGTTTAACTGATTATATAATTAAACTTGAGATTTAGGTAGGAAACATTTTTATACATTACACATTTTTATGACAGATTTAAAACACTTTCAGTAGGAGTGTATGTGTGCGTGATTGGGTGTGTGTTATCCAGAGTTCATTTATTATACAATCTCAGTCAAAGACACTAAATCAAGCCTGTGCGTTTTTTTGTTTTACCCCAAACAGGAGCTCATCTCCTTCTTCGGTCTCCTTGAATCTCTGCCTGCAGCATGTGATCCATCCACGCACTGACCCACAGTAATCTAAACCACATGTTTAATGCTGTTGTGTCTCATTAAAAGTTCTGTTTGTGTACAATTCTCCAGGATGGTTTAATGAATCCATGTTTTGTATATTTTAAAAGGTTATGCCTTTCCATGTCAACACACACATACAAGAGAATGAAAATACATTTTAGCTGTACAAAGAGTTGGTCAAAGGAATTGACAAAATGTGTGAGGATATCAATTTTGAATCCTTGCCATTTGAGAGTCAAATGTTATCCCACCACATAAATAGATTTCTACTACTTCGTCCTGAACACTATTTTGAGCTCTCTGTGCAGAACACCTGCAGATGTAGCAGTAGAATGTCCTGAACGTTGGAGTGAATGTTTGGCTGGACATGAATCAGAAGGAACTGGTTCACTTGTCAGGAGGTATGTACCTTCATCTTAGCTCTTTTGGCAGAGGACGCCTGGGACCGTGTTCCATTCTCTTCACTATCTTTTTCCGTCGAGTTTTCGTCCTTGACAGAAATGGTTTCAGGCCAGGCTTCCTGCACAAGATTAAAAAAAATGAAGAACAGACCCACGTGAGATTACTGCTAACCATGGAGACTTCTTTTATTGTGTAAGCAAACATCAATTTCTGTAATTAGTTGTTTCACCCAATGCAGCCTTTGTGTTTGGGTCATTGGTGTAAAATGTATAAAACAGATTTTGTTGTTTGTTTTTACAGTTAATTATTTTTTTAAGGTGATTCCATTAGTCACCAGGTGAGGCCAGTGTACACTCGTGGTAGTTTAATAGTCCATCATAGGGTCACATGTACTGTAAGGACATCAGTAATGCATACTATGGATGGCCCCATACAACTTTGTCTGATACAATTATTGCTACTTGGAGTATCTGCTGACAGTATCCCTCAGTGACCTCAAACAGGAAGAGTGGTTAAAGACTGAGGCCTCTTCACCTCAGACGAACTGTCTATAGAACCTCAGACATGTTTGTCATTCTTGGTGTCTTACGTGCTTGTTTTTGTTCCAGATTCCACAGACATAAATGGGATCCTCCTGCAGGGCCTGCAGTCTCAGGTACTTCCCCATCAGACACAGGCACCGCGCTCTGTATTCCAGGTTGTCCATGGAGGACAGACTGACTGCAGTCAGCTGGACCAGCGCCACCTGCCCTGACGAACCGCATGCACTCAACCATTCCTGGACAACACAGAGGACAGTTAGGGTGAACTGAAGAGCGGATCACAAGGGATGTATTTACAGTAATTGGATCAAAACTCAAGCTTGGCCTCAGTGTTTCGGAAACACTGTTGTTCCTGATAAGGATTTAGCTAAAATAAATGGTTTAATTAAAACTAAATAATAAAAAAATAATATTATAATATATTGGTGTTATTACATACTTTAGATGTAGCTGTGTTGAATGAGTATTTAAAGAAGTAAATAATAACAAGTTTGTTATATATATATTATATATATATCATAGGTATAATGTGGTATACTTCACTATACACACACTTCCTACCAATTTAATTTAGGATAACAATAGTATAACAAAAATTAGTTTAGTAGTTAACCGTAATTATAATTAATAATTTCTTATTTACCTTAACAACTCTATGTTCATAATTTAGGACGAAAAACTAATTACGAATCGTTTTAACTTCTGACAAAAGCTAACGTTAGCTGCCGAGACACATATGCTAGCGTAAATTGCACTAACTGTCTCGACCCAACGACTAGCATTTCAAACAAAATACAACCGACAATTGTTTTCAAAAACCCACCATTTTAATCAATCACATGGAGCCACCCCGCCCAGTTTTTGGACTTTAACGCCCGCTGGAAGCCCAAACGGCTAACACTCGTGTCACGTGGGCCGGAACTGCAACAGGAAATACGGACTGTACAGCGTATTCCTATTTCCGTTAGAGAAACAACTCCAATATCAGCGCTCCCCCTAAAGTTGACCGCTGACATTCATTTAAGTTGGATTACTGTTAGTCTCTTAGAACGTTTTCTTTGATAGAAAGAGCGTGCTTTGAGGAGTGTAACAGAAAAGCTCATTGGTGAAAATCTACAAAAATAAATAATTCAAATACAGATTAAGTCATTCTTGATGAAGAAAATGTGTTTACTGTAAATCAGCTGATTCATTTGACCATAGAGCTGGTTGTTATGAAGAAAATGTGTTTACTGTAAATCAATTTCTGTCAATCAATTATCCAATACCATCATCCCTTTTTTATAATTTTTATTATTATTATCATTATTATTATCGTGATCATTATTCATGAGTATTAAGTATTATTTTAGTGATATTTTTGACATGTTCAAATATAATGGGGATTTTTTGAGAATTTTTAGCACAAATTATTCACTTGGCAGCATGTTTTAGGGCATAAAGAAAAGAAAAACAGCCATTGGATGCTTATACAGGGCTTACACAAATGAGACTTTGGTCAAGGAAACTATTCTGTCTGTTTGGGTTTTTTTTTTATTCTGAAAAGTTAAAATGTTTATTTCAAAATTAGGGTTGAAATAAGCCTAAAGGTAGATCAAAACAACTTTGAAGGGTCCGGAGAAAACTTTAGTTATAATTAAGCTTCTATTAACGACACTGGAATCAATATAAACTGCATTAACTCTAAAATGATAAACCTAAAAAGAAATTTCAAAGAGAACATTATAAATCATGTAATCTATTACAGGAAAATGTGTGCATTAAAAATTCAGCAATTAAGGGACATATCTGCTACCACTTCAATGCAAATATTGTTTAAAATCAATATCACTTAAATAAGCTGATACATCAAACACCTTTGTTACTCTTGGTGAAAGCCTTTAAAAATGTAAGAATGTATAAAGAGAATCAGGGAAGACATGTTGAGAGTTAATGGAAAAAAATCTTTTGGTCCGAGTGTGCTGACTTTAACTGAATTTGACATTATAAATTCTGGTTCTCCTTATACATTTTGGCTCCCATTGTAATAATCCAAAGCTGTGTTCCCCTAGAATTCTCTGATTCTGACATATTTCAAGAACCTTATTGTGGAAAACATGTTTCTGATGGTTTACATATTAACAAATGAAATGGTGTAATATTATTATTACTAAAGATTTATCACATATATATAAATATAAAAGTCTGCTGCTCACACAGCCTAGTTCTTTGTTGACTAAATGTTGGAGGGTGATGCCTTCTCAGCAGATTCTGCAGAAGATGTTTCCTGTACCGCCGCCATCTTTTTACTCACCAGTCGTGGTCTTAAGCTGCTCAGATCCTGCTCCATGTCCCTCAGCAGCATCTTCAGGTCGTTGCCTGTCATGTCGAGCTTCTCCTGGGCTTCATCGCAGTCCTTGGTGCCCTCTTCGGGCTGAAGCTGGAACTACAGAGTGTGGAGCAACTCTTGCTGGATCTGCCTGGCTCCTGCTGTAGAAACAACAGATTCAAATTAAAGTCAAAACAAAAGGGAAAGAAAGGCCAAATTAGTGCGTTTTTATTCATTTTTGGAAAATTTTTATTTTTGGAGACTTATTTAAGAATTTCAGTGTATAGAAAATCAGTATAGTATTTTACTCTGATCAAAAGTAGTTGTACCAGAAAAGTATATTTTTCTGAATTATAACCACAAAATTGGACATAGCTAAGTATTTTAAAATACCAAATATATACAGTACACGTAAAATTAAAGCTATATGAACTAAGAATTAAAAAATCTAAAATAGTTTTGTTCTTCTGTTTTATGGTCACTATAGTGGTGCTTTGACCATTAAAACATTAAAGTTGAACAAAAAAATTAAACTTCTGACATTAAAGTTGAAAAAACATAAAATCATATATATACTAGCCAATTAATAGTATGCATATATCATTCTAAAGCCTAACAGCTAAATATCACAGAAAGATAGAAATATTGTTGTCAAATGTTTAAGATGCGTCATAAATAATTCTAAATTCTAAAAAAATTCTAAAAAAAAAGTTTTAGGTTTTAGGTGGATATTTCTGTCTTTTTATTTATTTATTTTTCGTATGTTTATGTTTCATTTTAGCTGATCTTTAGCTGATCTTAACCTACGCCCTAACTTAACCTACCCATAATATGTAACCACAGATCAGGATAACTTTCGAGTCGATATGTATATCTGCCACAAGAGGGCGGTGCTGGACAAAATATACAAAAGCCAGTTTTCTTCTTTCAGTTTTCTGTTAATCATCATCAGTCTGCAGAGTTCCTCGGCTCCACGTGACCCTTCATTCACTATAAGGGAAGCAAAAATTCAACTTTTAAAACGTAATTTAAAGTGTATTTTAACAAGTGGTACGACCTGAACAACAAATGTATCTTTATACTTATTAAATTGTTTTGCGTGCCTTACACATGACAACTCTGTGGTAGTTCTGTGTTAAAGCAGCTGAACGAGCTATAGCTATAGCAGATAAACCGACACAGCCTCCAACTGATCACTGAGTCCAAAGTTGAGCTCATCTAGTTTTCCAGTTTGTCCGCTTACACTAAGATGAGATGTTTATCGACATATCTGCCTAAAACCCCGAGCAAAGGCCTGGGGTTCATACAAACGAACCACCAGAGAACCCCCAGCCAAGAACCTAGTCACCGTCTGACGTCTAGGTATCCTGTACAATAATAATAATAATAATAATAATAATAATAATAATAATAATAATGTATAAACAAAAAATCTGTTAAATACATTTTTTAATTTGTTTGTTTTTTAAATAAAGCAGATTAACCAAATAATAACTTGCAATATATTGCAAATGAGTAGTCTAATATACTGCTAAAGAAAAGCTCCAAGTTTCCCAACAACAGAAAGAATAACATTTAAAAACTGATCAAAATACATAAAGATTATAGAGAAATAAGGATATCGAAAAGGTAACATGAACATGGCCAGGGTACATCTGAAACCTAAAGGATGGTTATTAATTGTTATATAATTAAAAACAAATGTATTCAGACATCTAAAATGTGATCTAAAAATGTAACTCAGACTTACATTAAGATTAAAATGACAGGTAAAAGTTGAAATAATATTTATTTTAAAAATTATTATTATTATTATTATTTTTATTTTTACCATGAACTAATCACAAGGCTAGTCAACATATTATGACGTAACCTTATCCGTAAAGGACCCATTCATGTAATTATATTTCCGCTAATAAATACCTAAAGTTAGCCACAAATATAGCAACTGTATCACAAAAATGTCAACCGACCCTGGAATCACAATCAATTTAAACTCTAATATTGAATGTCATTAACGGGTTTAAGTTAAACATGTATACTGTTTAGACTATATAAAACAATAAATAAAGAAAAAACAACTAAAAGGTTTATTTTAGCCCGACGAACCGAGGCAGGTGGCTGTCTGTATTTAAGGGACCGTCTTTAAGTTCCACCACTGTCAACAAGTGATCGGTGGAGTGATATGTTGGTCAGAGGGCGAGTGTGTGGCTGTGCGCGCGCGCGCGCGCGCGTCAGTTTATTGGGTTAAACGTTTATCAGCTTAATGGAAATAGAGTTGGCTTGACCTGAGTCAATTAAAAATGTTAACTTTTAAATTGATGTACGTTTACGATATTTAAACTAAAAATAATTCATTAAATTGTTTGATTATTAAAATTTGATAATGGCCTCACAGTGACGGGGTGTTTGGCTGCTGCGGTCTGATTTGGCTGCAGATGAGGAAGTGGACAAAGTGCCAATTTTTCTGTAATTAATCTCCCACTGGGCCAACCTGTTTAATAACTACTTTATTTAACTTCACTGTCATTTTAAGGGCAAAAGGGGGAAAAAAAGAAAACGGTCTGTGAGCAGCGTGTGTCTGGCAAAGCTGCAAGAAATATAGTCCCCTCTCCTCGGAGCCCAATAGCTTTTCCTATAGTGATCATTTTCAGAAAGACCTTAAAACAAGATAATAAAATCAATGTATATCATCAGCAGGGAAATATACGGGTATAAATTAGACATAGAGGGGCATTAAGAGAATTAGAAAGTGTGTGTGTACTGCATCCCTTCAACCTGGGAGAAAATACAGTCAAATTGTGAATCACCTCGCGTTGAAAAACCTTTTAAAATCCACAATCTTTCCCTGCTGAGCAAATGGGCAGCAAGGTGCATTTGCTGAAGCCTTTCAAATGCTAACGTGGCCATATTTCACTCTTACAACCGTCTCACATCTCCATAAAATATTAGGGCACTCAGGGTGATGACTGGAGCCACACACACACACACACACACACACGCACGCACGTACTCACACACACACACACTCTGTCGCCGTAATAACGCACTTTGTCTAAGAATAATAAAAAATAAAAACTGATTTGGTCACTTAATTCTAATCCAGCCCCGTCCCGACATTGTAGCTGCTCTTCAATGTGTTTTACCTTTTAATTTAATTTTCTACAATTTTATTGCGCAGAAAAATGCGGAAGAGAATGGATATTAAGCAGGTGCAGATAAAGCGAGTAAAACGGCATGTTTTTATTTTATTTAGTCGTTTTTCTATCTTTACGAAGGTGGACAACAACCGAACACTCTGTTAACTCAGCTGAACGAATTTCATTAGACCTAACGACAAGAGGCTGCGTAGGGTTTTTTTATTTGAACATGATCAAACTAAAACAACTATTTTAGTCAAATTTGGATTTTTGTTATTTTACCCCTTGTTTGTCATTTTTACTTTGACCATAAAGACCCTGAGACTTTCCCCTGTCGCTCGTCTGCTCCTGGATTGATGTACTCACACGTCAGTGTATAATGTTAATGTATATTCTTTGTCATCTGTGGAAACAATGATTTCTACACTGGGAGACGCTTCATTAACATCTGCACTAAAGCTCTGCAAGTGACTGTGGCTGCGTGCTGCGTTCAAGGTCTCCTCCGACACTTGGTGTGCCAGCAGATACTGATTTCAGTGTTCTAATCAAGGAGAATTCTTCTACAAACTCAGCCATAGAAAAACATATATTTTTTAATTGGGACTATTTAATTTCAAATAATCTAGATAGTTCGTGATAGAAAAAGCTATGTATTTATTTAAAGGAGAGAGAGCTAGAGTTTATCCAAGTTCTAGAGACTGACTGTGTAAGTCGGGTGCTCTAAGGCCAAATGATGGACAGATGGACCGAGTTGTACTTCTACACATGTTGTATAAGTTTTATTTATGACAAAGCGAGATACTATAGGATCACGGATTATTATTAGATAAGCAACTAAATAAAACACGTTTATATAGGGTTATAATATATTTTTTAAACATGTTGCAAATATATCAAAATCTTTAATGTGATATGTTGCAAATATATCAAAATCTTTAATCAACTCTTGCAGTATCCCAATGGGACTCCCTAGGGATTTCAGACCCCCATGTGATGACCTCGGGTGTACATCATTACTCTCTAGATGTAACGGTGTGTTTTCTGTGTGTTTTTTTTTTTTTAACGCTCATGTATTAAAATGGTGCAGAATTTTTTTTTTGGCAAATTGTTTTAGAGTTTTGTAGCCAGAGGTAAATCACAGACAACTAGTCATTTTGATAATATTATTGTTTGACTAAATGCCAGCCAATAATATGTAGTAATGCTCTGCTGTGGAGCTTCAGACCTCGATACCAAATTAATACTTAATAATTAAGTAAGCTAATTTTAAAACATACCAAGTTTAAATATACGTTTTAATACCTCCTTTTGGGTCATTATGCGACTAAAAGCGGTTGCTTTAATTTATTTTTGTTTTGTTTGATTAACTGCGGCCAACTATATGTACTGCACAGCTATAACTGTAGCAGAATCAGTCTGTGTCATGATTAGATAGATATGAAACACAGGAAGAAATCAGTCTGTGTCATGATTAGATAGATTAGATAGATATGAAACACATATTGAGAATTAACAGAATTCTTATTCTGTTAATTCTCAATTTATTTTATAACGTATTAATTCGAATCAAAAAGGAACTTGGAAAGGGAAAAAAAACAATTCAACGAGCAGTAAATATTTGTTCCAAAAGGTTATAAGTTTAAAATAGAGAGACCCTATTTCCTACTGTAAGTAAACGCACCATGGTTCGGGCCGACACGCACGAGCGTTTCTGTCCCTCCCAATCAGAGCCCTTCATCGCTATGACTCGTCCAATGGGAATAGCGCGCGTGCAGGTGGCGGCGCTGTTATCAGCTGCTTGCGCTTGACTCAGGAGCAGAGAACGAGTCAATTTATGGCTTAGAGAAGCGGAGCCGCAAATGGTTTCCCATCAAAACCAGTGAAAACACCATCACAACGCCATACTTCCGCCCGGACCACTGCGGCGGACACAACTGCTACTGAAGAGATAGAACTTTACCCGCTGACACACTTGATAACAAACACGAGGAGACATTTGGGGACAGTTTCAACTCGCTCTTCACTTCCCCCAGAGAGAAGTTCGTCTTCACTCCACTTTTACCTCCTTCTTCCCAGAGTCTTCTTCTCCAACAGCCAGGATACTTTTGGACAGCAGTGACCGGGCTCCTGAATACCACCGCTGCGCCTTTTTTCCTTTAAATAAATCAAATTACATTTAAGAAAAAAAAACTTTAAGCTTGTTCAGCGGTTGATGTTCACAAATGTTAGCTGTGGGGCAGATGGAGGCTAACCGGCAGAGTGCTTTCGTCCTGGGCAGCACCCCGCTGGCGGCGTTGCACAACATGACCGAGATGAAGACGTCCCTCTTCCCATACGCGCTGCAGCAGAGCCCGGGGGGATTCAAGGCGCCGTCGCTGTCCAACCTCTGCTCCCAGATGCCCGGCAGCACCCCGCACGGAATAAGCGACATCCTGGGACGACCCATCACCACGGCCGGGCAGCTGCTGTCTGGCTTCCCCGGGACAACGGGCCTGGCCCCCCCCGCAGCCGCGGCGGCGGCGGCGGCGGCGGGGATGTACTTCAGCCCGGCGGTATCACGGTACCCAAAGCCTCTGGCGGAGCTGCCGGGCAGGGCGCCCATCTTCTGGCCCGGGGTGATGCAGGGTTCCCCATGGAGGGACCCCAGGGTTACCTGCCCATGTAAGTCAGAGATCAGTGATTCTTTTTTAAAATAAATATACAGTATTTTTATTTAAAAAGTTAATATATATTATGTGCATTAGAATTATGTTTTTGTCATTATCAGGCCTATAATGTCAATAAAACAGTGTGTGTGTTTGTGTGTACTATACCATTATCCACACAACTATTCCTGTAATATTCCTGTCTGACCTGTTGACTCTAGCATCACCGGACACCTGTCTCTGTCCCATGTCTAAACCACCGACATTTTTCCCCTGCAGCTCAGAACGGCATCATGATGGACAAGGACGGAAAGAAGAAACACTCCAGACCCACGTTTTCAGGACAGCAGATATTTGCACTGGAAAAGACTTTTGAACAGACAAAATACTTGGCCGGACCAGAGAGAGCCCGACTCGCCTACTCTTTAGGGATGACTGAGAGCCAAGTCAAGGTACGTTAGTACTATTATTATTATTATTATTATTATTATTATTATTATTATAGTATCATGGTAGTAATAGTTATAGCAGTTTAAGTTTTGCTAATTAACTAATTGTTGTTATACATTAATGACGTTATTATTTTATTTATTTAACGTTTGTTGTTACTGTTCTAAATAAGAAATCTTCTTTGTATTTCTAAACAGCTATAAGAATGACTTTCTGATTCACTTCAAATTTTCAAATTTCAAAATTCGCGGCTTCTTCTCATAATAATAATAATAATAATAATAATAATAATAATAATAATAATAGTTTTAAATTTATTTTAAATTTTATTATCCTGGATTTCTTATCCTAATCCTTATCAGCGTTGTAGTTATTCTGTCCGCTCTGGTTCTCGTGGTTGCACCTGTTGAGCATCCTCACCCCTCATCCTCCTCTCCTACCTCCTCATCAACAGGTCTGGTTCCAGAACAGAAGAACCAAGTGGCGCAAGCGACACGCGGCGGAAATGGCCACGGCCAAGAAGAAGCACGACTCAGAGACGGAGAAGATGAAGGAGAGCTCGGACAACGAGGAGGACGACGAGTACAACAAACCGCTGGACCCAAACTCTGACGACGAGAAAATCACGAGACTGTTGAAAAAGCACAAGGCCAGCACCAACCTGGCTCTGATCAGCCCCTGCAGCAACAGCTCGGACACTTTGTGATGCCGGCTGGATTGGACGCGGGGGCAAAGTGGGGTGGCAATGTGGGGGTAAAAAAAAAAGAAGAAAGAAAGGGTCCAGCAGAGACTTGTCGCACTCTTTCGGACCCGCTTTCCACCTGACCGGAAGGAACGTGTGTATGTTACAGGGGGGCTCATTTGGCGTGGACACACACGGGGACAACATAGTGTGCGCACTGAAAACGCACCTTAGACCCAGACACTGCAGTGGCGGATTCACAGATGTTTTCTTTTTGGGTGGCAAAGATGTGGCATGAGGCTCCAGCAGGGGGGCATTTGGTTATTTATTTTGGTCTTGAAAAAGTTTTACACTTATGAATTACGTGCATATGAATGACGTAAATTACAAAAACCAAGTACTCGTTATTTAGGATTTAGCAGGACGTCCTGGTGGAGACCACCCTCCCACCCCCACGTTCTTTAATTAAAATGAGTGTGTGTGTGAGGCCACAGTTCTGTTTAGACATCGCTGACTTCTAACGTGAGTTTTAATGTGAAAATATTAATTATTTACACATCGGATAGAGTCCCCATCCCCGCCACAGCTGCCACCTGTGCCGCCCTGTTGAACCGCCACTGGTGCCCTGTAGCTGTTGAATGCACTGAAGTGAACTTCTCACCTGTATAGAGGTTCTGAACATTGCTGGGTTCAGGCTGGATCACTGTCGGAGGACGGAGTCCAACAGTGTCCTCACCCACTGTGTGTGAATGACGTCCACGGGCCGCGGCCTGCAGCGCTGAGACCCCACCACCAGCCGTTCATTTCCGGGTTCAATGTGACGTTTGCTTCCTAGGAGGAAGTTTCCTGGCAGATTATAACTCGACTGTCCAGCGCCACAGACAACACTGATCCCAGAGCAGCCGCGTGTTTTACCGTGTCAGGTGTAAACGGGCCCTCGATGACGCTTGTAAAGCTCAGACTAACCAGGGTATCCACTGTTCTGTAGAACGGCAGAGAGCAGGCGCAGGTGCGGAGCGGAACGACTCATTGGTCGATGGTTTAGCCTCTAAATGTTAAAGAAATGTACGTCAGATTGTATATATATTTTTTACTGAATAAGTTATGACAAGTGACAGCCTTTTATTTCCCCTCTCTCCGCAGCAGCGTCCACGCGCTTATTCCCACCAGTTTAAAAGAAAGAAAAAGAAAAAAACAAACAAACAAAAAAAAAACACAAACCCGCTGCTTATTGTTCTTTTTCCCCTTCACTGTAAAAATCCTGCTTTTTTAATTTCCCTCCATCCTTTATTTCATTATTTTATTTTCTGTTTACATTTGTATAGACGCTGTAAATAATCCCTGTGAAGGAACCACACTCCTGTAGGTTTCCTTCGGGTTCTTTGGAATTATAATATTTTTATTTGACCTCGTCACACAGCGGAACAGAAAACGACCACCATACAGAATGTTATGTTGGAATTAAAGAGACTTATTACTTCCGGGAAGGTTATAGGAAGAAGAAAAAAAACTTTGTATTATGAATAAATTATTTAACAAGCAATTTTTCTTTGTTCTGTTTTGGATTTTGTTCGAATGTACGGGCTTAATATAAATTAAAGGAAAAATCATGATTATCGAAAATTGAATTCGTTATTGGCCACAGTGAACTGATGCTGCAGGTTTAAATGATTTATATTTATCACCGGATCCAGAAGGAAGCCATTCTACTTCTGGGCCGAAAGATAATAATAATAAAATAATAATAATTTTACTTAAAAAGTAACAAAAAGTAGTAGAATAGTTTGATATTAATTGCATTATTAAATACAAACTAACACACTTATACATTTTTATTATTAATAATAATAATAATAGAAAATGTTCGATACGAAGTTAAACGACAACGGACGTCCTATAGCGTTGACATAGGATTAATTTAAAGTTGTTTATTTTTAAATTCGATAATAAGTCATTTTTAAAAATAGACTTATCGGTATTTGATTATATGATGTAATTCCGGGTTCACACGATTTCTAACTAGGGTCATGGCAGACCCGATCTCGTCATGTAATATAACGTGATATGGAGATCATTATCACACAAGTGCGCCACCTCTGCCTCTGACACGCCACTGCAGCTGTTATTATTTTTATTTTAACTATTATTATTAAATAATACATTATTATTTAATTTTCTTTAAAAAACGACTCATTTCCCATCTCAATTCGACATTTTTTTTACATGTTATTAGGTAAAAATAAGCAAATTCTAGCTACCTGTTTCAGTTGTTGCATCAACTTATCCTTCCAAACACCTCAGTGGTTGAAGGCCTATAAATAAGAAGTGGTTTTATTTCAATTATTTATGTTTTTACAGTGAAATAAAGGATCAGTAAATGTCACCAACTCTTTAGTATGAAACATGTTTTCCAAAAATTGTTAATCCAAAATAATACTTTATGCTCTTTTATTTACTAGCAAAACTGTTATATTCACATATACTCATTTATTTTATAAGACAATACATAGTAATTAAACATACTATTCAACAAACAGCTTTGATTGTGTTGAAAATAAGGACAAACAGTGTTGAGCTCTATTGGTTTTTATTGCTTTAGAACTGCATCACCTACAGTAGAGGCCAGGCCGTCCAGGAGGGGCTAAAATAAAATCTCTATCTGCTTTTTCATAAATCGGAGTGAAGAGAAAAAGTGCAGCTTAAACTCTTACAGCATACTTAGAATGACCAAAAACAAGCAGGGCCTTTTTTCCAAACATTTTTTCGTTTACCTACTGTATGAACAAAATCGCACAAGACAACAGAAATTCTGCAGCAGGCACAAAATCATTTATACTTGCAGTGATTTAGATTTTTAAAAAAGTCAGGGGGGATGAATGTGAAAGCGTCCCTCTGTCGGGTATCTGTAGTGTAGTAAGTGAAATCAATAAAAGGAAACACTGGCGTCCGTGCTCCGTCTATAATGCTCCAAAGTATTTGCAGTGGCGACTGCTGAAGGCTACCCTCGAAAAAACACATACAAATCTGCAGCTGCTGCTCTTCTCCCACATTTTAGAGTTTCTCTTGTGTTTTTTTTTTTGTCATTTTACAATCAATATCTTAACCATCCAACCTGAAGGACTTTACAGCTGACACACTTCATTCCTGTGTAGAATACTTGGCACCAAAATGCAGTAACAAAAATAGACAAAACATTTTAAGGATACCCAAACCTATCTAAAATATCACATTCAGAATCATAATATTATAGAAATAAGTTAGAGTAAGAATAATAAGGTGAGAGTGCTGTATGACATACTACCTTATATATACTTGCATGGTCTATGGCACTGCTTAAAACATTGTCAGACAGGCAACAGGTCACTGAAGAGATGTTTTTCCCTCTCTTCCTGTCTCCTCTCCTCTTGGACTGACGGTTCAACGCCACCGCTGCGACCACACGTGCACTTCAACGTCAACATTTTGGTAAGAATTATAAATTATCTCCTTTAAAAACATACAGTATATAAAATGAGACTCAATGGGTGTGTCAGGCATGGCAGTGTGTTGTGCACACAACAAGAACAACTCAAAAAAAAAAAAAAATACAGTATATATGTTATAGAAATTACTGAAATAAAATGAAAGTTTTCCAACAAAAGGACCAGGAAGTTTGGTCCGAAAACAAAACAAAAACGGCACTAAAACCATCAACAACTCTTATGTTATACTGTCAAATGTACAAATAAACCTAACAATATAGATATACAACTTTTTTGCATTGCACTTTTCTTATTTTTTTTTAAACATCTTAACATACTGTGTGGAAAGTAGCTTCTATACATATAGGCAAACCTTTAAAATGGCAAATATGCGGCGTCTGAAAGAATGTAGTCGACTGTAGACCGTGGTTCAACTTAGAGTTTTGGCAACCAGTCTGTGTGGAGTGGAAACAAAAAAAAAAAGTCGTCTGTCCTGCGATTTTTATTCTCCGTGGAATGGGGGTTGCATGGCAACGGTGAGGTCAGCGATGTGTGTCTTGTCTGTGTGGAGCCCGGGGCCCGGGGCCCTCAGGTGCTCGTCCATATCTTGGTGAGTGTTTTATGGAGAGAACTATAGGCTCCGGTTTGGTAAGAATGAGGTGTCAGGACAACTGCAACTGGTCAGCACTTCTGAAAAAAAAAAAGTTTGTCTACGTTCTTCAGTGTAGGCTTGTGCAAAGTGTGTGTTTCTGGTTGTGTGTGAGAGTGTGTGGGTCGTTTTTCTTCTGTGTTCTCACAGAGGCGCTTCACAAAATATGTCCTCTCCCCTTTGGCAACACTTCCCTGTGGGGGAGGGAAGAAAAGAACCAGAGCTTTTATTCCTTTTCTTGTTCTACTTCTACTACAGTGTAATAAAAATGAAACAATGTCAGAAAATTTTGTTTTATGTTCACATTTGACAGGTGTGTCCAAAATTAGGCCCGGGGGCCAATCATGGACTTGTGTGTGTGGCCTTTTGACAGACCAGGAAATTAACTCCTGTAAAACAGGATTCATTTCCTCTGTCAAAATATTTTCAAGCTCCATGTTATTTTCAGGGTATTCGCTTAAAAAATGGCAAACTTTTATCTCTTATTAACTTAAACACTACAATCTTAGAGCTGAAAACCTTTATCCTCTGACTTTTAGCTACTTTTCTTTTAGTCATTTTTGGGATTTACCAGCAAACCCTTAAGTATTTGGCCTAACTATGAGGAATTTGGATTTTTATATACAGTAAATAAGCACTTATATCTAAACATTTCTTGGCTAACCTTTAGCTGTTCTGCTATATATGGTCATACATGTAACAATTAGATACATGTCACCTTACTGTTTTGACTAACTCCATGCTGTTTTGTTCTAATTTGCAAACATTTAGAACTGAGTGTACTTTACTGAACAGTAGTTTTTTGGCTAGCTATAACTATTACATTATGACTGTTATATATTCAACCAACCTTTCTATATATCTGTGGTGTTTAGCATCCTAATTGTTGGCTTAATTCCTAAAGACTAGACTTAACTTTTTCAAAGGTTTTTGGCTATCTCATAGATTTAGTCTTAGCTAACTTTTAGTTGAAATTCAATTTGGGATTTTTTTTACTTGTAGGTATTTGTGGCCCTAATTCTGCTACTGTCTTTCGTGCAGTCTTTGAATAACCAAGATTTTGTGCAATATTTTCGTCTAACATTAAGGTACTTCTAGGCAGTCTTTACACATGGACTTTTTTATTTTCCTAATATTACAGTGTTTTCTGCTACATTTCTGTCATGTTTCATTTTGAATCCTTTGATTGTACTCACTGTAAATATTCTATTTTTTTTCTAAACAGTGTTTTTGAAGTAAATCAATGCTGGATTATTTAAAATATTTTCTTTGTTCTTCTAGATAACGAATAGTGTTTCTTGTTTTGGTCTTTATGTTGGATTTGGATTGGAAAAAAAGTTTGGACACCCTGAGAAATAAGATGCAGCTGCAGCAAAAGCCTGGAAATATCTGCCTTAAAATGACTGGAACATTTTAAGTTTCAAACTGAGTTTTATTCTGGGATAAAATCTTCCGTGAACTGATGAGAGGTCGAGCAAATCATAGCAGAGCATAGCAACAATGGGAAAGATTGTAAGAAAGGAAAAAAAATGAATATTTACCACGACATCATTGCACCACACAACACTCGTGCTTATTTGCATTAGGTTTACCTGCCCCCGCTGTTATTCGGAAGGACAGGAAGACAGGCTGGTAGGGAGACAGAGACACAGACACAAGTGTAGGACGTTATTGATGCTGTGTGGGACAAGTCCTCAGTCTTCTCGTCCTGGAGCCCCTCTAACACACAGGTTAAACTCACATACCACAACCCTGCATTTTTCCGCCTGTGTGCTAACTACATCGGACATTTTTTTAAACATAGCCCGCTGTGATTTTAGCAGTGGTGTGTGGTTTCTGCCGCAGTATCTGTCAGTGCGCTGGGGTCACCTCGCACACACACTCCACTGTCCCCGTCACACCGAGCCATGATGAAAGACCTGAGTGGAGGCGCCTCTCTTTCAGCATAAGACCTTCTGTCTGACACGGCGCAGACTGAAGCTGCCGTGTCAAACACTTTCTATAGAGTCAGCTTCACAAACAGAGACGCAAACACACACTCGAACCTCTGTCCAAGTGATCGTAAAAGGCGAACATATCACATTTCTTTTGTAAATTTGTGGATTGTTTTGATTTGTTTGGGTGTTTGTGGAGTAGGTGAACGTAATTCAATTCACAGCAATCATGTGATTGCCTTGGAGTTGTCTTTACAAGTTCTTTACAAGACACTTTTAAAACCTTCAAATCAAATCTGTCCCGGTGGTGTTTCACACTCAGACCTACAGATAATAACAGATAATAACACCAGTTCTTTGTACAAATGCACGTCTAAGACACACAGACAGATGGGGGGGGGGCGGCGCCCCCTTCGTTACCTTGTGGTCCCCCATGCAGACATTAGGCCCAATGTTATCGTAGACTATGGACTTCTCTTCATTTTCAGGCTGCAGAAACACACACAAAAAAAAACAATGACAACAATCTTCAGATGAGCATGTGTTGTGTTCATGGTGATG